CGACGCATGTAATCATTGTTTACATAAAGAGGCTGAGGTCAATCTTCCAGACAGCGAGAGCGATAACTAATTGATTTAGAGAGGAGAATTTTAAAACGAGAATTTCAAGCCAAGAGGAAGTCTTTATATCCTTCATATCGCTTTCCATTGCGAGAGGTCAGGGTGAATGAAACGCACACCTGAATCACCGGGGAAGCACCTTATAGTAACTTACCATGCAGTATAGACACGACGCAACAGAAAATGCTGCCCACTGTATCAACAAATGTGAGAGAACTCGCTGAAAGCAAGGACCTGCGGAGCTGGCAGGCCGCGGGGGCTGACAGCACATTCGGTCAATCACTCAATTTAATCAGCCCCCGCAATACCATCCTTTGATCAATCTATGTGTAATTTGTTTCTCCATAGCTGGACTTGGTCGTTTGTGGTTGGCGGCACGTCTCGCAGCAGAAATGAATGGCATGCGGGCCGTCCTGTGGGCCGTCCTGTGGATAAAATGTACACTGTACGAGTATGTAGAGCGTCGCGGTGACTCGGAAGGGAAATGTGACATAGGAGGGGAGACCAGGCGGTCTGAACACATTTGGGCTCAACACATTTCAGTGGTTCTGTTACTTAAGTAAGTAAGGGATTAAGGATACCATATCACCATGAGTCATGACCTAATATGTACCACTTCAAGTTCAGCCAGCTAAATCATTCATAGCCAGTTACCATACTTATTTGGACCAGAAATTATACGTCTTATAAAGGAGGGGTTGACAACTACCGCAAAATGGCGTGTTGTAGTAGGAAAATCTCTTCTCGTATACCAACCAATCCTAACCTCGCAGGGCAACGAGGCGCTCCCTTTTTGTCTATGTTGTGCAACATAATGATATAAGAGTCAGATCATGCAGGGAGTTGTGGACCATGAGATTCTAGTCCTACCATCGTTTGTGTAACCTCGAAAGAAATTTCCAGGTATCCCTTTTGCGGGTTTCAGTCTAGTACACCTGGTCATTAGATGAAATGATCACCAATCCTGCTGATCTTCTTGTATATTTAATAACAGTCTCACTACGGAACACTTCTTACAATTGTCCAGCACCCTACCAGTCCAAATCAATCATGGACCATCTCAATAAGCCTCAGATGGAGGGCACATCCACCAATGACCAAGAAATAATTCAAGTGAGTTGTGCGTTGAAGTTGCTCACAGGTTCATTACTCATACTGCTCACAGGGGCGTGAACAAACACCCACACGCCGAGTTGCTATCATAAACACCAGCACTGGGAATTATCTGAAGGTTGTCAATGGAAGGGTGGTCACTATCCCAGCCACATCTGATCCTCACGACAGATACTGTGTGGTCGATGCTATCGAAGCCAGCCAGACATTGAGTACTATCCTCAATGAGTCATTTGCAAACGCTACCCCTTCAAGAGATGAAAGTCCCATTCCGATTTCTCGATGGCAAATCATCCCCAGGGAAGCCGATTCTGAAGTTTTTTACATCGCCGACCCACAGAGTGGAAAACGGCTCCAGGATACAGGATCGAGTATTGAGTTTGCCGCGATCTCAACCGATGGTTCCACTAGTGACCCCAAAAATGACTCTATTCATCTGTGGCAGCTTGTTGCCTTCGGTGCTGTGGGCAATCTCACATCGGTGGATGAGACTGATATCCATTTCGCGAGGCTAGCAATGGAGCTCCTTCTCTCGCAGTGGGAAGATAAGAGGATTGCGTATACTCCTAAGAAGGCCATTGCCACAGTTGCGTCCATCGATCCGCATGACCTTCAGACTTTGAAGGACAAAGGCAACAAAATGAACAAGAGCGAGCAGAAGGCTCTCCTGGACGGTGGGGTTCGAATTGACCGTCAAGGCTTCTTCCAGAAAGGGAAAGCCAAGGACTCACCCTATTTCGCCAACTTGCAAGGTCAGGTTTCTAAAGATTCAGTTTGGCAAGTGAATGTGCAGACTAAGGAGGATTTTGGTGTGGCTGTTATCAGGAAGAAAATGGAAGACAGTATGAATTCGAATCCGCCGAAGGAGGTCTGGCTGGAAAAATGAGTTACAAGGAACAAACTCTGGGAACACTCATTTCAGTCGCAACTTGGGCAGTAAAGCCTCCTGGACTTTCATTGCAGTGTATTTGTGAACACTGTTGGATAACAGAAGTTTGGCACAGACAAGCATGTACTGCAAATTTGAATGAGTCAAGTATGAGGCCAAGGATTAAACAAGCATTGAATGTTGTGTAGGTATGAGCCGCGGAGGCCGGTGCAGATCTGGAAATTTCCACCCAACCCATGAAGGTATTTCCTTGAGCCTGAATGCCATTAATTAAGAGTGGATCCCATTTGCGTTTGAACGCCGAGTGCGGCCACTACGAAGGCCAACCAGGCATTTAATCGTACTCAAATTTTAATATCCTCAAGTGGACCCAATTCCGATGGTAAGGCTTAGTTCCTGATCTGCGCCAGCATCACATCATAACAAATTTGATCATTCTGTTTTTACATAAGTATTATCAAAAGCCGTAAACCTATTATCATCGCATTGATCACCAATAAGTCTCCTAGTATCCACTCCGCTGGTCAGCATATCTAGGTTGCGCATTCTGTGGAGTTACTCTGGCATCAAGCTTGCTCAGAGGATCAGTGTCTGGGTCAACTTGTTGTCTGACACCTTGGGCGCCGCTGCTACCGCTCGCAGCACTGCCGCCAAATCTCGGTTCATTTGGCATTTGAGGGTCACATTGAGTGACGTGGCTAGTAGCTGAGTGAGATTTGTGTTCTTGAGTCGAGGTCTCGTGGGATTCCTCGCTAGTGGATTGACCAGTTTGGTCGGAGTTGTCTGAGGGTCGAGACTGGTATTTCTTCTCCTGTGTAGATTTCGAATAATCATCTTGGCTACTGGTGTGATTATCAAAACTTTGGGTGGGAGAATTTCCCTTTGGATTAATGCTGGTAGGGGCATTGCCAGACATTTCGGGGTTCGTAGCGCCGAGATGCTGACCGCGATCGTCTGCGCATAGCCTTAGACATTATCTTGATTTCTGTGGCGTTTGTCTCTACTTACTGATTGTGCTACCCACGGGAGCATTCGTAGCTTTTGGTGGGGTCGAATCATGAGATCCGGCATCCACGTTACCTGAGCCAGCGCTTGTGGCTCTGGTTGAGGTATCTCCAACCGATGCCATTGATCCATGGGTGTCGGGGTCTGATGAACTGCGCGTATCTTATCGATCTATTAGAATAACGAGATCGTACGACAGGGAGATGAGCTATGCCTGAGACCTACCATTCAACTTGGAGTCCCGATAGGTACCAGTGTTATCATCAGAGCGGTGGCGAGAGCTGTATGGATTATTAGGGCCCAGACCAGAAGACGTGTTCACTCTAGACGGGTTTGTTTGATCAGGATTCAATTCGGCCGCGCGAATGTTCGATGTTCCATGGTAATCCTGGGGAGCTCGGTAGCCAGGGGCTTGGTTTGTATCCTTCCTATCATCCGTCATTGCGTCCTTGACCTTGTGCACAAACTTTGACATGGTATGAGTAGAATGTTCAAAATTTTATTAAAGATTGTTGTCAAAATCTTTGTGATGTGGTGAAATGTTACTCATGAAGCTTATGAAACCTATGTAGCAACGAGGCTTTATGTATTTCAGTCATGCTTTGCCACAATGCAACTTGTAATGGAGTGGAAGTTGGAAACTGGTCATGACGCTATGAAAGAGCGAAATGACTGCCAAATCCAGCAACTATGACTGATGACTTGTTCGCTAACTTGCTTTTCATTCTCACATCCTGAATGATTCCACCAATTGGATATGTAAAGACTGTATAGATCTGGATATCATCTGCCTACTTCGTGTCATTTACGTCAGTTCCAAAGCTTTTCAATGGGTCATGTGTAGAGAAAAACAAGAGAAACGGGGAACACGAGCTTTGAATGTAGTTCCGTGGTTAGGGCCAGGCCGGATGCCTGGATTTTGCCTGAATTTGCCTTGAGGCCTGACTGTGAGCCACCTTCGTGATGACTGGCTCGGTGCCCAAAATATCTGCGTTTTCAGAATGACGCTCTAAGCGGGTTCCCCGTGACACTAGGAATATCATGACACAATTCCAGAAACCGGTGATTGACTTTCAAATCAACCTGAAGGTGGATGTTGAACAACGACATATAATAAGTGCCACTAAAGTCGCACCCCTTGGCAAGACTCTAGCAAATCTTGGCAAGACTCTAGCAAATCGACCATCTCTTGATCACCCTACATTTTAGCAGTATATGTTTGGCCTATTGTTGAGCCTACAGGGCGAGACAAGAAGCGGACTGGAACTGATCGATTGACTGCAGGAGAGAGAGAGGGGAAGAAGAAGAAGAAGAAGAAGAAGAAGAAGAAGAAGAAGAAGAAGAAGAAGAAGAAGAAGAAGAAGAAGAAGAAGAAGGAGACTCGAGAGCGAGGGTCTATCTACACAAACAGCAAACGAGAGTTGGGACGAACTTCCCACTCAACAGGCTCGTATACGCCCTTAGGCAAGCGAACTGGGTATATCCCCTGCAAGGTATCTCACCACTAGGAGGTAGTGATTAGCTTGATTATAGCCAATAGAGTATATTTCTAAAGTTGGCCTTCCCACTCTTTTTCAGTATATTTGTTGCTCAGGACTGCTAGGAGACAGCCCTTACCATTTAGTATTTTAGATGAATTTTATAAGTCTATTGAGGAATCTATTTTAGAAAAAGATCATAGAAAAATTTAATAATCTTAATAATGTTGAGATGGAAGTTCGTCCCAACCCTCGTTTGCTGTAGATAAACCCTCCTTCCAGGGGCTTTCTCTTCTCTCCCTCTCTCTCTCCCCGCGCAGAGAATTCAATCAGGTTCTTCTTCCTTTTTCTCTCGCCGTGCTCTCTCAACAAATAATAAATAGCAAAAAGCTTAGAGAAGAAAACTTTACTAAGTTATTTATATTTGAAGTCACCGCCAACATCCACCGATCTATCTACAGACCCCCAGCAGCACAAATCTTCTTAGCCTCAGAAAGACGTTCCGCATATCGGTCAGGATATGCCGAGCCCTGCACCTTCTGGCAAAGCTTACCAACCTCCATAGACTTCCAGCCACTGATACCCTTCATTTTGGCGAAGAATTGCCCAGCAGACTTGGCAGCATCCATATTGGCCGCAATATTGGGGTAGTAGGTAGCACGCTGCTGGAAAATACCAACGCTATCGTAGTCCGATCCAACCTTGTCGTGTGGGTACTTGAGAGATGCGGGGACTTTCTTGTTGGCGTAGATGTAGATGTTGGACTGTATGGAGTCAGTTCATATCCAGCCCCGAGACCTAATCCATGTTGATTAAAACTTACCTCAACAAGTGCAGTTGCAATACCAGCAAGACAACCCTGGCGGCCCAGACTCTCCGACTTGGCTTCCTTGATAATTGCCTTTGCGTGCTTGGACTGCGTAGCTGTCAAGCCGGGGAGGGTTCCGCTGCTACCACCTCCGCTACCGCTGCCATCGCACTTCTTGGTGACGTAGCTGGAACTTCCGGTCTTGATGTAGTAGTCGGCGATGTAGCAGCCGTCGGCAGTCTTGTCCCAGATGTTGTTTCCGTTGACATCAGTGCCGTCGGTTTGACAGGTGATGGCAACGTCGAGTCCTTTCTTGTAGCTCTTGACAATAGAGTGGGAGGTACCAGGACCCGAGCGACAGTTCACACCGTCGCCGGTGATGGGGTAGGCGCTGACCAGCGGTGCGATGGCAGCGAAGGTAAGAGCCAACAGGGGAGTGAACATCATTCTGAATAGATGAGTCGAGATGGATGTTTGAATGGAAATTGAAGTAGTGAATTGTTGGTTGATTCCAAGGTTCTTGCGATGCAATGATCTGAGCTGATGATGAATTCAGCCGGGCATCATTGAGGATTTTATATTCCAAAGAGCCTCGCAATCCAGAGATCAGTTTCTTCAATCTTCATTTCCGACCCCAACGTCCTCGTATAGCCCCGGGGAATTGCACGGGATGTAACGAGATCATCGATTCGTATTCATGCCGTCTGAGAGGCTCGTATACAGCCGAGGTCGTGAGTTCAGGGGTGGGTCTATTTTCGCGTCCTGAATCTCGTATTCATGTTGATCAAGAACCCTGTGTTATGCAGGAGAGTGATAATGTTAAGGTTAATCGAAACAACAGACGATCTTGGCGCTCGTGTTCCTGAGGCCCGGTCTGCCAGGGTAAACAGGATGGCCCCTAAAAATAGCAGAAATATCCACCGATTAGCGTAGATTTATGTAGATCATCCGTGTTCACATGGAGGGCCGCTGCTGATTCGATTGACGGACCCTCGCGATTTTAGTGAATGTTACTTCGTAAAGCCCCTGGCTTGGCGATGGTGACGTCTGGAATAGCAGTGCTCAATTGTTAAAGGAGCCCCGCATTCTATTTGGCACATTGTCGCACAATTGACATTGATCGAATCACTATTCGAGGGCCCGTACGGGTCTCTTGGCGCCGGGAACCTGGGGCCAGGGTGTTGTTTGCCTGATGGCCCCTGGTTTCATCCATGCTTCCTATACTCCGTAGAAAGTGTGACCGTAAGGCGTGCATTTGAAATGTTTGAAGCCTATGAAGCCCTGGCGAGGAAATGTGGATGTTTTAGCAATGTGGTTAGTACCCACTTGGATACTGTGGATTTTGTTGGAGTAGCCTCAGATTTGAGATCCGATCTTGATAAGATCGACATCTGGAGGTTTATATAAGAGGCCACCAACAGGAATTTCTCGGCTGTAGCACTTTTCCTGCGATTAAAGAAGGTTGTTCCGCCGAGACGAGTTGATTTCACCATGCATCCGCGCACTCCAGTGCATTCTCCATCAGCTTGATGAAAATATAGCTCGCTTCTCGTGCCTCATGAGGAGTCCATGCCCTGTAGGTAATTTGCCTAGCACCAAGCTTGATCACAGGCCTGGAGCTAGCTCTTGATGCGAAGTAGTTCGCACATTTCACCCTCTCTGAGTCACCACACCAGCCGAAGTTGGCAGAAGTGAGTCCAAAGTCTGTTGCTCTGGTTTTCCAATATCTTTGCTCAAATGTTTGGAGGGGACTGAATCGAAGAAGGGTATGCCGATGAGCGAACCCTAGTGTTGGGACTAGAAGCGCATAAGCGGGTCAATCACACCGACTCCCGAGGCTCAGAGGCCACGGCAGTCATGAACGGGGTAGAAATTCCAGATTGAGTGAGTAAATCCAAGATTTGCTCGTAGTTTAAAGGATTGAGGCCCAATATCAGAAGAAAAACCCAGTTCTCTAGATCTGTTGCATCATTTTCGACGTCACGAAGGCGGAGAGCGAAGCTGTGCTTTCTCCCCGCTCAACTCCCAGCCACCCTGTCCCCTTCCACTTTTCTCTCATCTCCCATTCCCGTCTTTTTTTTCTTTCTTTGAGCTTCTAGCTATTCGGCTTATTCGAAAATGGCTCCTCCTCCTCCCGCGACTCTACCTCTGGTGGAGAGACTGAAGGCTTTGGCGCAGACCTTGCAGTACGTCCAAACACTCTAAACCTCTAAATTGCTTCGTATCATACTAACGACCCGGTCAGATTCGCTTGGTTTGTTGGGTAGGCTAATTCCCAGAAGAATGGACGCTGGCATTCAGGCTGACCCTCTCTAGACATGTGACACTGTTGCTCTCGGTCCTCCGCTACAGCTTGTCCTGCGTTTTCTTCAACTACTACTCTTCCTCGGCCCAATTCGCTTACCGTTTAACCTTCGTCTCTGCGGCTGTCACTTATGGAATCGTCGTCTACAAGGGCCACTTCGCCCGTGGTGTCCAGGGCAGCCCTCTTTCTATCGTCGTGAAGCTCGTCTCTGACGAGAATGTGCAATACCTTGGTGAGTGACTAGTGTGTGTGACCTATCGCGACCCAAGCTTATGTGCTTTTTTCCCATAGGAATGGCTCTCGTTTGGCTGTACTCTCGCCAGCTCATCCTGGCTCTTCTGCCTTTCAGCGTTTACTCGGTCTTCCACGTCGCAACCTACAGCCGCATGTACCTGATCCCCACTCTGCAGCCGACCGCGCCCACTGCTACTCCGGCCTCTCCCACTTCCCCATCCTCCAAGCCCGCTGCCAAGCAGTCCCCTCTGGCTGAGACCATCGGACGCTTCATCAAGCAGTACTACGATGCCAGCATGGGAGTGGTTGCCACTCTGGAGATTGCGCTGCTGCTCCGCCTCGTCCTGTCCGCTATCACCTTCTCCAAGGGCAGCTGGGTGCTCTTGATTGTCTACCTGGCCTTCTTCCGTGCCCGCTTCGCTCAGAGCTCCTTCGTCCAGCAGGCTGTTCGTCAGCTGACCGCCCGCGCCGATGCCTCTCTCTCCCACCAGGGCACACCCCCTCAGGTTCGCCAGGGCTGGGAGACCTTCAAGGGCGTTGTGCGCCAGGGTTACGAGGCCACTGACATTGGTCGTTACGTGTCCGGCTCTACTGCTGCCAAGAAGCCCCAGTAAATGTCACATGGCTCGTGCGCCATTCACCCTTCCCTTTCAATGCGAAAGCTGTGAAAGGAGCTATAAGCTCAGCAATAAGTATCGCTCAATGAAGGTGTTTGGTGTCAAACACGATATCACGGATTTATCTCCTCCCATTGGAATGGTTTCGCGCAAGCGAGCAGGAACACGGAGTATGGAACATGGAGCACGGAGCACGGAGCATGGGATGTCCAGTATGAGACACCTGTGTCTGCTGTAGAAAAGAGGCGGTTGTGGAGGTTTCCCGCCATGATGATGCTATACGCAATGACTTGTGTCTATTATTTCTAGAGTGTCGCGATGCATAGTAGCTGTATTTGCTTTTGTATGCCAACATAGCTTGTCTTTTCCAAGTTTCCTGACCCTATAAACCTCAAAGTCTTGTTGCTCTATAAATGAATGGGCAATAGACTATGCATAAATCCACGACAGTCCTGCTAGTTATACTTAGGTATCCACACTCCGCCCTCCGCCTCCGAAGCCCGATGACACAATGTTGGCGCCTCAGGCGACCATCGGGCTTGGCAGCGAAAAGAGGCCGATCAGAATTTTGAATCATCTCCCAAACATAAGCAATCCTCGGTTTCGTCACTCCTTTTGACTCTGATTTCACAGGGGTGCTCCTCTCCCGTCCAATCTTTCTGAACCCCAGTCTGGTCCCGACCAGTATTGATTGGGGTTGCAGTTCGGCGTATTGCCATGAGCCTGACCTCGCGGGTGTTCGGCCTGTTCTCGACAGCGGGCTCAGACTCAACTGCGACTCCGGGGGACTCGCCCAATTCAACATGGACCCCTCCTAATAACACAACAATGCGAGACGATTTGAGCCTTGTCCGAGATGGGGACCTCGCGCTAGAGGAGGAGGAACCCCGGCCGCCATATTTACATGTATGACTCTCTGTGGTGATGCTCGCTGCATTGCGCAAGGCTGACCTTTGCTTCTTTGATATAGGCTATGTTGGCCGGTGGCATTGGAGGAACATGTGGCGACATGTTGATGCACTCACTAGATACCGTCAAGACCCGACAACAAGGTGACCCGACGTTTCCACCGAAATACACATCAATGGGACAGTCCTATGCAACAATCTATCGTCAAGAAGGTCTCTTTCGCGGGTTATATGGAGGAGTCACGCCGGCCCTCCTTGGGTCATTCCCGGGCACGGTGATCTTCTTTGGATGTTATGAGTACACCAAGCGATTGATGATTGATTCGGGCATCAACCCCAGCGTCGCCTATCTGTCGGGTGGTTTCTTTGCCGATTTGGCTGCATCGATCGTCTACGTTCCATCCGAGGTTTTGAAAACACGACTACAGCTGCAAGGCCGACATAACAACCCGCATTTCAACTCGGGGTACAACTATCTCAACATGAGGGATGGATTCCGCCAGATTGTGCGACAGGAAGGATTCTCGGCACTGTTCCACGGCTACAAGGCAACCATCTTCCGCGACCTCCCGTTCTCCGCTCTGCAATTCGCATTCTACGAAAAAGAACAATCGATGGCCAAAGACTGGGTTGGAAAGCGTGATATCGGCCTGGGCCTGGAAATCTTGACAGCCGCCACCGCCGGCGGAATGGCTGGAGTCATCACCTGTCCCATGGATGTAGTCAAGACTCGCATCCAGACCCAGCAGAACCTCCCAGAAACTCCCTCCTCGGGCACAAAACACAGTGTCGAACATATACCCAAAGAAAGTCCCCGACCCCACGCGCCATCCTCTCATTCCCACCCTTCTCGCGCCCACTCCCGACCCATTTCCACCTCTGGAGCCTCCACGTCCGTTCCACCGCCCGGCACCCCACGACTCGACACTTCCTCGGTGTTCACGGGGCTGAAGATGATCTACCGGACGGAAGGTCTTGGAGGGTGGTTCCGTGGCGTGGGACCCCGGGGTGTCTGGACCAGTATTCAGAGTGGAACGATGCTGGTCATGTACCAGTATCTTCTCAAACAACTCGAAGGCCATCAGATTCTGGCTGAGCGGCCCTAAGTTTCCATGCATTTTCCCGGATTTGGCGTTGGGTTCTTTGTCCCTGGATTGGGAGGTTTATGACCCCAAGCGCACTGTATAATTGTGTACTGATAGACGTTTTTTAGACTGGCCACGGCCTGAATGTACCATAGGATCTCATCAACTCTACATATTTCAACTGCTTTTGGTGTAGCAATTCAAGTAGTGTAATATTCAACCCTGGAACTGTTCAAGTAGTCAAAGAATAAAAGAATCAAAGAATCACAAGTTCAAATAATTAAAATAGCAAGAAACATCAAATGTAAGAAAGTACACAAAGCGGAATGACACAAAGAAGCGCGCTAAACCGTTTGTTTTGGCGATCGGCGGAAGTAAACAATTACCGGCCAAATGCACTCCCCTCCTTGCATCTTCTCTCATTACCTCCCCTAACTTATACCATTTGTGCGCATTGATCCAATTCTGATCCATCATGTCTGGTCTACCTTATCTGAGGCAGTTGAGAAAGGGTGCTCTGGTTGACATCGCAGAAGAGACCGATTTCGCCAAGTAAGTGTGGAAGACATCGGGAGAAACATGACTGACGTGTTTCAAAACTTGCGACAGCCCCGATGAATTTAACAAGAATGACTTGGTAGTAGCCCTCGACAGGCATCTACGCACCAATCAGTCCATCTTCATCGGGTTCGAGAGCCTCACGGACTATTATGCCCGTCTCGACACACCGCGCAAAGGACATTCGCCCGCAAAGCGCATCGCGCGAACTCCAGGTCGTCCCCCAAAGAGAGAACCTGAACCAGAGCCTGAGCCTGCGCCCAAGGAAGAGTTTAGGTATGATCGCCCGACCTCCACACTCCCCGCGGGGGGCCGCGCCGATCGCGCAACTAACCACCCTCCCAGTGAACCGGAATACGTGGAGTCTGTCGCAGTCAGCCCAACAGTCGCGACTCCATCGTTGTCGCGTACAAATGCGCGCCAGTCGCGTTCAGCTCAACAAACTCCCTATCAGACTCCCCGCATCCCATCCATTTCCGCAGTGGCTGATGTAGAGCCACCCTTGCCGGCATCGCCGGCCGTGGTGACGGAAGCGATTGATGCCCAAACAACCAAGCTGTACGAAGGTGTTCAGAGGGTGTGGAAGGCATCAGGTGTCGTAGACCATGCTCACGCCCTGCGCGCTAACCTCAGCAACGTTAAGGCTATTCAGACCATCGTCCTGTTGGTGGAGGGTGTCATCTTCCTGACAGCGCGAGTTCCTATCCGCTACCTGACCGCTATCCCGGCCATTAAGTATTTCAACACCGCTCCTTTCCGTACCAAGGTTCCAGACTTGTTCGCAATGTTGGAAAGTGACTTCTGGGTGCCGTTTTCTGTGTGGTTCTTCACCTGTTTCGCCTTGCCCTTGGTTGTTTCCTACTTCTTTAACTTGAGCTGGAACGCCTCCAACAGTGGGCGTCGCACCCGCTCATCACCCACCCTGGCCCAGTTTGACCCGCTGATCTTCAACATCGCCAAAGCCCTGTTGGCCCACCTTGTCCTAAACAAAGAGATCACAGGCGGCCTGGTCTCCCAATACACTCTCCGGGCAGTCAGGACCAGTGTGCCTGGCGGTGAGCGTGGTGTACTGACGGGTACCGCCATTGGTGCCATCGGCGCCATCTACGAGGCAATTCTGACTCGCGCGTAAGCGTTAACATTGCAGGATTGCAGGGCTGTACAGATACTCTGGAAAAGGACGTTTGGTCTTCATTTTTTCCCTATTCTGTCTGTTTTATTGGTCCGGGTTTACCTCGCTGGGATATGGATAATGCGACACGCAACTTTGAACTTTTTTTTTGGCTTTGAATTCTTGTCTTTCTCGGTCTCTCGTTCTAGCCAGAGAAGGCGCCTTGGGTGTTGGCTTGGCTTGTGCTCTATTGTCTTTTCCAGGCTTTTTGTCTTTCCTATTGAACTGTCTCTTAGGTATAACCCGTTTTACTAGTCATTAGGATATTTGTGTATAAAGTCTACTGATTTGAGATTTTGAACTCGCACTGATCTGGACATGTAGCCATGGAGGGGGTCTCTTAAGCAATTTTTGACTAGGCCTTCGGAGCTAAGTGTAGCTTATGTCTTTACAGAGTCATCATGTACATGTGTATCAGGTATATTCAGTTCTATTCTAATATCAACGCCCGACCAACAGAAACTTTAGAATGACGCGAGACTGGGTATTTGCCTAGAAATATATCCGTTTGATGAAACCGATGTCAACTCTGTTCACGACTTCAGGATCGTCTCTTCAGCCTCTCAGCGAGTTCCAAGGTGAACAGAACCGGGGTTGATGTCTCAACCTCTACCTTGTCAGCACGAATATGGTTACTGGTGGAAACCTGTCCCCCAATCTCAGTATGCCAATCCTCAACATCCCATTCAAACCCACGCGTCGATATCACGGCAGGTGCCGTTATGGGAATAATCCCAATATTTTCTTCAAACAGGTACTCGGATTCTGATTCGTCCAATTTGCGTTTCTTGCTTGACGGTGAGCCGTCTGTCTCGGGTACTGACTGTCTCATGAGGTCTGCTCGATTGGTGCGCGGTGTGTGAATTGTGTTTTTGCCTTCGTCCAGAATGAAAGTGATGCTCTCCTCAGATACCAGATACAGCCTTCCACCTGCGGCTGGCCTATTGTCGAGACTGGGGGAGCTGTTTTGAGTCCTGCGAATTTCGCGCTGGGTTTGCGTCATCATGTACAGATGGTGGACTTGGGAGAATGCTTGATCCACGCGGCCGCCGAGACCTCCTAGAATCACAATTTGTAAAAGTGATTTCTCTGATGGAGGGCTTGGGGTTTGGTCACTCTTAGGAGCCTTTGTGCTGTCTAATTTTGCTAGACTGCCCCCTTGTCGAGGTGAAGAGATTATCTCTGCGGCATGCGCATTGAGATATTTCAAACACTTGGTGAAGTCTGTCGAATACTGATCTGAATCTTCGATGATAGTCACGCCAAGTTTGTGATAATGTTCTCTCACTGATGGACGGAGAGAATCCAAGTCGCCCATGATGGCATCCGGGAGCTGACGAGAATGAGTTAACTTGATCTTCATGCTTTGGTCTGCTGTGTCCAGTTTGAGGATGATCCATACATGGAATGCATGTTGAGCCCATCACAAGTAGCAGAGAACAAGTTTGCTAGATATTTCTTACGCTCTTAGATTCTGTTCCCAGGGCCTCCGTCATATCATAAAGTCGATTGGCACCTCCATCAGCGCACATAATATAAGATGCTGCAGGAGGATTAGACTGGTTCTATTTCAAATCACACTGGTCTCACCATGTCTGCTCAGGGCATCGTATGCTTTCTGATTGATTGGCTGATGAAGAATCAACAGGGCATAGGGAGAAGAACTCCCAGAAGCAGTGAAGAACACACTAGGATCCCACTCCATGATGCGAAACAGAAGAAAAAGAGAGACTCGAAGTGTAGAAGTAGAAAAATGGAGGGGAAGAGAGATCTGATATGCAAACGTGACCTGCGGGACTGCCTCAGGCCACCAAACCTGTTCCGACTTCTCCATCCCGCGTCATTCCCTTTAGCAACTTTCGCAATTCGATCGACATTCACAATGTTTCGTCCCGCTGCTCGAGCGCTCGCTCATGCGCCTACTGTCGCGTCCCGTACACCCGCCACCAGACGATTGATAAGCACCGGTCCTCCGAAGCCGCGAAGCTGGAAGAACACGATCCTGCGATTGGGTTTGGCCGGCGGTGCCATCTACTACTACAACACTAGCAGTGTTTTCTCCGAGGAGCCAAAGTGTATGTCGTCATATTCTCCTGGTCCCTCGATGTCGCGACTTGCATTTGCGACAGGCCCAATTCCATCGTGTCAATGGATGTCCCGGCTGCGAATCATCGCTAACTTAATTCTTCCCTGGTCTAGTCTCTCTTCTTTCTTCGATCCGCAAACAAAATGGCGAAGATGCCAACACCCAGACTCTCGATTCTATCACCCCCAAGATTCGGCAAGAACGCGCCGCTGAGAAGGCCCAGCGTGCCGAGTCCGCCGCTCTGGAAGGAGGTGTGAACGCCCAGGAGCTTCAGGAAGAAGCTGGCCAAGAGGCCGCATTCAACCCGGAAACCGGCGAGATTAACTGGGACTGCCCGTGTCTCGGAGGTATGGCCCACGGTCCATGCGGAGAAGACTTCAAGGCTGCCTTCAGCTGCTTCGTGTTTTCCGAGGAGGAGCCCAAGGGCATCGACTGCATTGAGAAGTTCAAGTATGTTCCGGGAAGGATTTGGAATCGGATTCGGAGACTGACAATTCCACAGGGCCATGCAAGATTGCTTCCGTCAATACCCCGAAGTCTACGGTGCCGAATTAGAAGACGACGACGAGGCCCCTGCTGCACCCGAAGTTCCCCCCACCGCTGCCGAGATCAACGCATCTTCCCAGCCCGAAGAAAAGCAAGCCCGTGCCAAGGAAGTCAATGCCCAGATGAAGGAGACTGAACACCCCAACGAGGACCTCCTCATTCCCAAGGCTGCACACGACACCGAGGAGAAGAACCAAACCAACAAAGCTTAGACATAAACCTACCTCTGCATCTCCCTGGCGCCAACCTTGGAGACGATTTATGTCTTTTTGTAATACACCAGGGCTTAAGATGGAGTTGTGTATTTTATAGATCGCTCTGTTATCTCTCCATCTCCCGTGGCACATCTGATGCATTCTTCTTTGTTATCTACTAGCATTTCATTCCCCTCATCTACGCTTCTATGTGTACTCTCTTCAACCCGGTTTCTCCATGTAATTGGCGCAACGGTATGGTATGCCCTCCGGTCCCCGAGCTGCACTCCGTGAAAGTGAAAAGTGGGAATGCATTAGAATTTTTGCGCTGGCAAACCACTGCAAGCTTTCCCAATCGACCTTAGAATCCGCCTTCCGGCCTGCGATATAGCATTATTCCCAAAAGTATACTCCAAACCCAAACGAAAATCATACAAGAAACCCTCATCAAACCGGAGGTCTAGAATGAACCGATGCTCCCTGCTCACTCTCAAGCGCATATTCCGTCGTCACCCTAATAGCCATCTTGTCTCGGCCCGGGGAAACAGGAATCTCAGCCCCCATATGGCTATCAAGAATATGTTCTTCACTGCCCGTCTCCGAGAGTCGATCACCCTTAGTGTTCAAAACACTATCCAGCTCGAAACCACCACTCTTCCGCGAACGCGAAGTAACAAAAGTCTTCGTATTCCCAGAAGCCTTCGACCCAAACCCATTATACCCATCACTTCTATAGTAAGGATTCTTGGAGTTCTTGCGATTCGACGAACCAAGCCAACTTGTGTTTCGGAACAGTGGCTTGATACCAGGTAATGAGACGACGATTGCCGCGACGAAACATTCCCGATCTGCCCAGCCCAGTGCTGTGCCGAGATTGGTTATTGAGGAGAGGGAGTAGTAGGCGCGGAGGACTGTGCAGATCATAATGAAGATTCCCGATGAGAACATCAGGACGAGGATCAATTTGCGCTGCAGTGGGACTTGGAGCTTGGCGAGAATCGGGATGGGGATTAGGATTATGCAGATGTCGGATCTGGGTGGTTAGTTTGGGGTGGGATTGAGATGTTGGTGGACTTACAGGACGTTGAAGGTTGCGATCACGATGTACAGGGGACTGCGGAGAGTGCAGTTGTCTCCTGCGTAGGGTTTAATCTGCCAGTTTTGAGTGACTGGTGTGCAGAGGCAGATGTGGGTGAGTAGGCAGACTAGCCAGGTAACGATGCAAAAGCCTGATGCTGCGGTTACAAGGTGCCGATGCCATGTTCCTTGTCTGTGGGTTGTTAGATATTCATATTCATGCGCGGGAGATGGGTAGAAAGTTGACATACGTGAGTTTCCAGTAAAGGCATAGAAGAACGCCTTTTAAACACCAGATATAGCAGATATACCATATCCAATTCATGAATGCCAGTTTGGAGCCCAGAATCATGTCAGGAACCTTGCTGTCGGGAACAAGTAAAGCTGTTTGCTCATTTAATCCAATATTGTTGCCGAAAATCCCTGGTTTGGTGGTCAGTTGAGATTTGAAGACAATTGTGGCCTTCACTTACCTAAAAGCTGGATGATCACAGTTTGCATAGTCCAGAATATCTGGAAGACTCAATTAGAAGACGTCCTTCTTCAAACCAATAGAACATACCATTCCAGCAACAGCAAAAGCATCGTCAAGTCGCAGTCCCCCAAGGCCTCCCACAAACAGTCGGGCGTATAGCCGGACAGACAAGAAAAGCATGCCAATGCCATATTCCGTCCATGTTTCAATAGTCAAACTATTGGCGGCCATGGCGAATAATCAAAGTACGAGTAGTGACCTCGAGCTTCCCATCAGAGAAAACAGGACATACGAGGTACAGAGACCGGAAAGAAAGCCAAAATTATGGTTTTAATAAAAAGGCAAAAACAGCCCCCTATATTAGTATAAATCGGGCACACAACGGAACTTCAGGGCTAGATCTATCACCTCCAGTGACATGCTTAGGGGAAAACACACTATTAACTACGGCCTATAATGCTATCCTTCCTCCGAGTGTGCCTACTCAGGGTCGATCGTTAGACACATTCGTTCTGAAGGATCAGATCCTTTGCAATGGAATCCACCAGCTCCACGAGACTGGACGGAAATTTGTTGCCCCAATTGCTTCCGAGGTCGTCTGCTCCTTTGATCGTCCTTCAGTTTCAACACAGCATAACCCAGTAGGTGTGCTTGGTAGTGCTTACAAGGATACATCGGTTGAATCTTACATCTTACATCTTTGCACGGGTACCTCTTTGGTCACTGTCAGTGGCGACGGGGCACATGCCAGAAGAAGATCAAGACACGAGAAACTACACTGATTGGACGTATACAACTACGAGCCGTACGAGAATGGAGTAGCGCATGGCCTGCATTTTTCACAATCCCAGACCCATGGTCAGCATGTTGCAAGATGTCTGAGAAGTGCAGAACATTGATCCGATGGGATGATACGGTCCACACCAGACTGACATGTGGAGTCGGACAGTTGAATTAAGAGTCAATTTGTCAATTATTAAGATTAATGGTTAACTTCGGTCCTAACGGGACACTGCGGGATTTCCGAGGAAAGTGGACTCCACCGCAGGATTCGAGGCGCTCAGACAACAAAGAGAAAAAGTACACTACCTAATACACTAACTCGTAGTGTAAGGACCACGTACCTTTGCTCTGTGACTGTGTCTGGGATCGGCCCCACAGGGGGCCGTGGGCTGATTGAAGGCGTCGGTTAAGCATTGTCAGTAAGCGCAATTCTTATACATCCTTCATATGTGTTCTGCAGGTGAGACTGTCAAAATAGCAGAGTTCCAGACTACAACCTTGCTGTTTCACTAGACAGGGAGGCGGGACTTGCCCGGGTCAGGGCTTTGCTCATATCAGACCTGAAAATCAGATCTCGGGAGGACCAGGAGCAGCTGTGGGGTATTTATTGAAAAAGGCACAATGAGAGTCCTAGGCACAAACCTAAGTCCCACTCAGTAGACATCTCCGTATCGAGGGGCGGTGCTTCATACCCCTCTCCTAAACTATCCCTTCACAATAAATGATATAAGATTTCATTTGAGAATCTAATATTTGCGACCATTGGAATACCTGAGATCATGACCATCAAAGTTGCTTTAATTACTGGCGGAGGTAGGATAGTTCAGCCTCCCGAGAGAGTCCTTGACTAACAAATCTTAAGCCAGTGGATTGGGCTTGGCCGTAGCAAAAGCATTGTTAGCCAAGGCATCCAGTGAAGAGTGGTGGCTTCATATCCTCGATATTGATCAAGAGCGCGGCACCCAAGTAGCCTCCGAGTTGCCACGATGCACCTTCCACCGTGCCAATGTGACCCAATACAGTGACCTGGCCACAGCGTTCCAGGGCGCATTTAACCAACACAAGCGATTGGACTTTGTGTTCGCTAATGCCGGTATGGTTGAGCGCAGTAACTTCTACGCCCTCCTAGATGCAGAGGAAGGCCAGGCAGATGCCCCACCCAAAGAGCCAGTCGATCTACTCCCAATCGACGTTGACTTGAAGGGGGTCATTTTGACAACCTATTTGGCCCAGCACTATTTCCGCCATTCGCCTCATAAGGGCCAAGGCGCTAGCTTGGTCATGACCGCTAGCTGCTGTGGACTGTACCCGTCGTTCTATTGTCCGTTATATACGGCCGCTAAATGTGAGTCGAGCCCCCGCCCCGTACATATGTCAAACGTACCTGTGCACACAAGCAGTGTGCATGCAAGTGTATGATATCCTGTTATGATCTATCATCTGCAAATCTGAAATCCCGATACCCCTGTACTGTGGCAGGCGAGTGCTGACACAATTCCAGCTGGCGTGGTGGGCTTCATGAGGGCCGTTGCGTTGCATTTCAAAGCCAGCGGAATCCGGGTTAATGCAATCTGTCCAAGTATCATTCGGACCAATCTGGTCGACTCGACTGGCTGGGATAGTTTCCCTCAAAATCGATTCGTCGAAGTGGAGGGCGTCGCTGGCGTGGTTGTTGGATTGGAAGGTGAATCGCAGGGTTTGACTGATGCTACTGGAAAGCACTTGAACTTGGAAGAGCTGTATGGGACTGCTGTTGAGATCTCCGACTCAGGATTTTATTTCCGGCCTCAACATGAATTCTGCGATGAGGGAATGCGAGAAGTGATGGCGGCGACGGTCCTCGAGAATCAGGTGGGGGCAATTCTGAATGGCGATTGAGTTCAGAGTTAACGCGTAGGTGGATGGTTTGCCGTGTCACTTGTGTACATACATACAAGCAGCAAGAAAAGCATACTCGTACAGACGATTTGAATGCCAAGAAGCCTCGAATTCGAGCTCAGACGGGACAAATGTCGACTTGGCCCCCACGAGGAACGCATTAGTGACTCACTAGACGCGAGTTCAACTCCACCTGTCAAATGTTTAACCTTACCTTTGACACCGGCGTACTTGGTACTTTGTAAAAGTTCTGGACCTTCTGGTTTGATACAAGTGGAATACTAACATGTCAAGAACCCTGCACTGACAGGGAATATCCACGGATGTGGTCTGTTTGAGTGTTGAGAATCCACGGATCCGACGCCGGCCCGCGACCCCACTGTGGGGCATAAACCCACCCAATATGGACTAGCGCATTTCCTTAGACAGCCACCGGAAATAACTGGACTGCAACGCGGGTGAATTCAGAAACTTCCGGGCTACAGACTACATGTGACAGTTGACAGGTCACATTTGACACCGTTGGTCCCACACGGGATGTGTTCAGATCCTTGAGGATTTTGATACGAATATTCAGAACGCTAATCCTAGTGCGGAGTCCCTTGCCTACCAACCAGACTGGCTCAAACTCATTACCTCATGCAATCGCCCCCGGGAGCTGAGAGTCTTCCCCGTGCATTGCCCGAAACAATGGCTCCCAGACAGTGGTGGCCCGCAGGGTGATATGACCGTTACCAGGCTTGGGCAAGTGGTAGAAGATCAATTTGTTGGCCGAACCTTCCAACAGCTCACCCGCCATCCCCGTCGAATCGTTCAAGAACGTCTCAAATCCATCGAGGATCGTCTGCATGGGCGTTAGGCTACATAAGTGATGTCAGTAACCTGCAGGCTTCTTTTTTCTTTTTGCCGTTTTCTGGAGCTCGACTCGACTCGAGACCAACGTACCATTCAGGGGTCACTGCTGCAGTCATCTCAGGTGGCACAATAGGAGTGTCGACCATACCCGGCATGACACAGTTGATGAAAATGTTTTCCTTCTGTTTCAGGAGAGGAGCCACGCCACGGATGAAGTGATTCACGGCAGCTTTGGTGCCGCAGTATACCGGATAAGAGGAATGCGGGAATACACCACCGATCGACCCCGTCACCACGACCTTGCCTCCTGGCTGGGGGTTATGGCGCATGAAATGCACAGCCAGCTGAGTGCCATACACAACACCCTTGTAGTTGACATCTACAAGAGACAGATCAGGACACGGGGGAACATCGTCGACAGTGCTTTCCCTCGAATCATAAAGGTATACTGAGGATGTATCCACAATGCCGGCATTGTGCACCAATGCATCAATGCGCCCCCAGATCTGGCGCGTTTGACGGAAAACACTCGCATATTCATCGTAAATGGAGACATCTGCGGTAAAGAAGTGGGCTCTGTCTCGTGGGAGGGTTTCAAGTAGGGCCTCCCCGGCTTGTTGACGCCGACCTACGCATGCGACATGCCAGCCTTTTTGGCAGAGGTCTCTGGCGAGATCGGCTCCTATTCCGGACTGTAATCAATTCTTAGTGGTGGTCGAGGTTTCAAGCGGAGAACTGACAGTAGCGCCAGCGACAATAGCCACCCTCTTTTCAATGTGTGATTCCATAGCGATGATTAGGTACGGAGTAGTTTGCGACAGTATAATATTTGATATTTGTAGATGCCAACTTGGACAGCTGGAAGAGCGGGGGCTGTTAACAACTTATACTCGTATGGCAATATGATTTGCACATTTCTAACAAAACCGGAGCCAGTCTGTTGACTCGGAGACCCGCGGGTCAACCAGCCGTTGATCTTACATCCCGAGTCAGAAAGAGTTCGGTAGTGCAAGGAAGTCCTTTAGAGCCGGCCGGTCGTTGCCCACTTCGGACATACACTAATGTAGCTTCTCCGTTCAGGATTCCAGAGTGGAAACTTTCCATATTAACAATTGGTCCAACTCTCTTTGATCCAGGCTCTCAGACTCTCGCATTGTTTCTAACCTCGTGGGCCATGTGCTTCCCTGCGTCAGTGGGTCTCCTTGAAGGCTTGCTTTCAAAAAATTGTTAAAGCTGCTCCTATTTCCTTCCCCTCTTTTTGACAGTCTCTCAATTGAACGAAACCATGACTGTCGATACAGAAAAGGATGTACCAACTGGGTCAACAGTGGCACCCAGCTCTCCTTCTAGCCTTTCGAATGAATCTGCAGCACCAGTTGTCACTTTAAAGACATGGATCGTTTCTTCGGTATTGATTTTCTGACCTATCAACCTTTACATCGACACTAACTATGACGCGCATAGATTCTTTCCTGCGGATATGGCCTCTCTTTCTGGCCTGTACCCGTAGTGTCGGCAATTGGAACTAATATTTCAGCTGATATGGGAGATCCAACGGGATATATTTGGTTTGTGCCGGTAAGCAGTGGAATTGCCATCACATTGATTCGGAAGTTGACCAAAGTCTAGGCATGGACTATCTCGATCACCTGCGCCTTCTTGATCTTGTATGTATCTGAAACACCGACTCTCAACTTTATGATACAGTGCTCATTAAACCTTGCAGTGGTCCAAACACCGACCTTCTGGGTCGACGATGGTTCCTTGTACTCGGAAACTTGGTAAGATCCTGCCCAGAGTAATGCCCTAGCATTATACAAGCCAGGATGCTTTCCCTTTTTGTGCGGAAATTTGAACTCTAATGACCGACAGGTATGCTTCATTGGTCATATCATTGTGGCATCAGCCAAGACGACAACTCAAGTCACTGCTGGCCTTGCTGTGGCAGGATTTGGTGGAGCAAACTGTCAGGTAAGAAATTGACCCCCTTCTCTATATAATCACTAACCGGATTTTGAACAGATGGCTGCCTTTGCACTTCCAGAACTCCTCCCCAATAAATGGAGACATATCGGTGTTGTCATCGCCGATTTCACAGTTTATATTGCCGTGATCGTGGCACCAGTGACAGCGCGCTATGGCTATGAACTTGGGAGCTGGGAATGGAATTTCTGGGGAGTGGCAATCTTCCAAGGCCTGTCCTCCCTAGGGTTGCTCTTCCTTTACTACCCACCCAAGCACCCGTAAGTCAACCTTTCCAAGACGTCCGGTGAATTGTGGGAATGACCCAAAGCTGACACGCCGATTAGTCTGGGAGTCTCGTACAAGGATGCTTTCAAATCACTCGACTACCTTGGCGCATTCCTTTTCATCGGCGGAGCGGTTCCTTTCTTGATGGGAATCGTCTGGGCGGGTGTATACGAGTCAAACGATGTCCATGTTGTGGCACCTTTGGTTGTCGGAGCCGTGGTGTTAGTATGCTTCGCGCTGTGGGAACACTTCGGCAAGCTCAAATATCCTCTCACACCAACATACGTCTTCGTCAGCTCTTGGGGTCGGGATTTCACTGCTCCCGTCATCGCACTGGGCGTTGTCAACATGTTTTACTACTCGTCCAGCATTTTGTGGCCGCAGATGATTACCGTCTTCTACACCAACGGCGGTGCTGACTGGAAATATTCAGTCATCCTGTCATTGCCGCAGGGATTCGCCATTTTCTTCGGAGCTATTCTGCTCACTCTCTTTGGAAGCAAGCTTCGTCACTGGCAGTGGCAGCTTACTGGGTCTGTGTTTGTGATGGTCGTGTTTGGCTCTTTGCTCGGTCTTGTCACGCCTACTAACAAGGGTACTATGATTGCCTTTATCTTCCTCTCTCAGGCTGGATTCGGCTGGGGTCTTTACTTGAGTATTGCTATTACCCAAATGGGTGTTGACCATAAGGCGCTTGGTGTCAGCGGTGGAATCTCGGGGTGCATTCGATTTGCTGCTGGTGCCGGTATGTGCCCATTGCTTTCCATTGACTCTCGGGTAGCCTCTTGTCACTTCAACACATGCTAACAGCTTCACCAGTTGCTACTTCAATCTACCAAACCGTGTTCAGCAATTCTTTAGCCAAGTACACAGCCAAATTCGTCCCCTCTGCTGCAATTGGAGCGGGACTTCCCGAGTCCAAGGTTACAGGTCTGATGTCCGTGGTGGCTCAAGGAGCCGCCGCAATGAAAGAATACAGTCCTGCTGTGGTCTCGGCAGCACAGGCGGCTCTCAGTCAGGCATACTGCAAGGCAATCTTGTAAGAACTCCTACATCCTCGTCAGACAAGGATCATTATCGGCGCATTGCTAACTCAGTTTCTTAGTGTGGTTGCAATGGTATCAATGGCATTTGGTATTGTCGGTCTTGCAGCCTGTCTCTGTTGCAAGGACGTTGATTATAAGATGACGTCGAAGGTGAGTGGTTATTTTGAGACATATTTTGCTATACTCCTCAAGGTGAAGGAAATGCTAATGAGATTTATCTTCAGATTGAGGTGTACCTGGAGAACACAGATCTTGCCGACAGGAATGAACATCACTAGATCCCCCAAAGCGAGAATGGTGTACTACGACCTAGACTCTTCCAAGGTTGGAAGCCTCCTATAAAAAGAATTCTGCTTTAGCTAAAGAATGAAAGTCGATGATATGTACAATTCAATATTTGAAACATCTATCAACCATCGTTGTAATCGTTGACCTTGAAATGAATGAGCCTGGCTGATTATTTAGCTATGGTAACATGGCCAGGTGGGTTATTGTCAACCCAAGGGCTTGCTCGAAAAGAAAATTCGAAGATAGCTAATTATTAGAGAGAGTAACGGTTGCACTGAGGTATTCCAAGTGAAGGCGCGAAGAGGCTGTGTCGATGTAGGGTGTGGGTGGGTCACCTGATATGGATCTATCTGGGTTGGTTATATTTAGTTTTAAGATCTCTCCAGGTGCAAACCCGCGGTGGTCTAGTTGGTCACACAGGGAGCCATATCTGCACCCTGATCTTCAAGATCCCCGAGCCCGGGTTCGAATCCCTAGGACCGCAAGTCACCGGGCTGATGTATCGCCATTTCCCTGGTTGGGTTCGTCACTCTTTTTTCCTACTTTCGCGTTTCGCCCAGTGAAATATACAGGACTAATCCCAAGGTTAATGGTCCCTTCTGGCACTTGTATCTGGTTTTAGATGGAGAAGGGACAAGATGTATGAGGGAGCATTTGCTGGTTGTGGTCATATTGACCTTTCTCTAGAAACAACTGTTGTGAGGCCTCAAGCTTTCTTTCTTCTTCAATTCTTTCACAACACTCCTCTTCTCTCTATCTCTCGCCCTCATCCTCGTTTTCTGTCCATGTGCCCCACGCATCATCCGTTCTATCGGCAATGCTATTATGAAAAGGGTTGTATATGACTACATATCATCCCCTGTGATCGTGATCGTCCAACTCCCACTTCCCTTATGCCTCCGAGGATTGATATCTGTGATAACAGATGTGATTTTCAATGAGATCCCCATTGCATCACTCAGAGCAGAGCGTTACTTCGACCTAGTTACCGATAAGTTGATACCACTATGTAGTTGAGAAAATGCGGAGTGGAGTCCAAGCTTTTGTCTCAGGCCCCCAAGGTCTTGGCGCTATGTCTGCCTGAAAATAGCGCGTGTCTGCCTGGACAGCAGAGCATGTACACTTGTTCATTCCTGACCGACATCTCACTATAAATGAACAGCCTCTTCCATTTCATCTCGTCTACAAAATAATTCATCATGGCTCTCCTCCCACAGCTTCAAATGCCAGGGCTCAACGCGAGATTATTTTTTACCCAAAGGTGCTCATCTGCGCGTCGAAAGAACAACACCCTAGCTTAGAACAAAAGTTGATGATACATTCATGATTCATTCAACTTAGAAGCTATGGTCATGTTATTGGATTAACCCCCGGGTGCCTCCTTTGACGCGAGGTAGCAACAACTAGGCATGCATGTCCATGAAAGCTATTTTTCATCAAGCTGATGGGCGAGCAGCATAGGCCTCCCTTGTAGGCCGACTAGTGCCTCGGAATTCAAGATAAGCCTCGTTCACCCCCGCCATATTCAATCCTGGGTTGTTGTCAGACGAGATGACCATTTTCCACGTTGCAAAGGGACCAATAGCCGCAATATCACTTTTGTTCCCGGAAAGAGTGAAATTATCTTCGATTTGCTGGGTACCGAAGACATTTTTGGATGTGGCTTCCTCAATTGTAGAGACCTTGTCAACGTAGTAATAGAACGAGATTTGCACACGGTCATGGGCGAAAGAGATTTCTTTTCGGTTGTCGTTCTGGATGATCTCATCGCCCATATGAATCAGGTCAACTGTCAACTTCTTGCGTCCAGCATAATCCTTGTCACAATCCACCCCCGGAAGCCACAGTCGCACTTGTTTGAGCCTGATATCGACGTGGTTCCCAAATATGCGATGCGTGGCGACCGGGTCGAGGCGAATAATTGCAGTATATTTCTCAATTCCCGACACAATTTTGCTTGTCTTGATACTGGCGAGCTCCTCTTTACTGAATTTGTAAAAGAGACCTTGTTGCTCATCATCCCTAGGCCAAATGTTTCTCACGCTCGCTGCGTACCGCTCTAGACACTTGCGGAAAACCTGCCACAGATTTTGGCGCTCATTGGCCAGGCTGACTGCGTTCATGAGTGGCATCGCATCCGCCAATGGTGGATTTTCGTTGAGTCCCCAGTAGCGAATGGCTCGGCTTTGGTTGTTAAGATCTTGCATGATGCTGAGGCGGAGGTTGTCGCGAGCCCTGCGGAACCAGTGTACCACAGATGGAAGATTAGAATCAATGGCGATGGATTTCTGACCGAGATCATCCGCTTGGGCTTTGAGGCTTTTCACCAAGCCGATACTTTCGAAAAGAAGCTGGATGGATGAGTTGTATTCCATGATAGCAGCATTGCGAGATTTGACGAGCCCCTCATATGCATCGATCGAGTCATTGAGATATTTCCGTGATTCCTTTGGGAATGCGTTGCGATACTCTTCAAACAATTTTTTGATCTTGGCCATTGATGCGATAATTTTGACACTATTGGGATCAGTCGCATCGATGGTGTGGTCTTTCCGAGTCGTGAAGGTAGAGTCGAGATCCTTGAGGTCGCCATCAAAGGTCAAGATCTCGTCGGCGATGTATTCTGTGTTTGTCACTTTGTACTTCGCATCCTTGTAGTCCAGCGTCGACTTCCAGATGTCGACGCCTTTCTTGGTGACAGCGAGGGCAGATTTGAAATCCAGACTACACCCAGCCAGTGTTGTCAGTGCATCCAAAATCTGGAAGTAGTCGAAGGGAGGGGATTTGAATTCACGTTGCAGCTTGGTAATTTGCGTTCGGATTTCGGATTTCTTTTCCTTTAGCTGGGGTGTGAATGCGCCAATCTTGTATGTGGCCGTCTTGAGTGGCCCGTTCTCCGCAGTCAATTGTTCGATCTGTTCTGTGGCGGCTTTCTGACTTTCTGTCAACACTTTTATCCCGCGAGATACATAGCGCTGAAGGGCATCGCCTTTTTTCACGGCCTCCTCATATTCGTCTGTCAGAGCCTCCTCACTCTTCAGCAGTTCCAAGCTTCGATCGAGCTCCTTGTCATAATAGTACAGCGACATGCGAGGGACCCAGCTGGAATTATGTCCCCACATATCCTGTCCGACATACATCTTGTTCAGTCTTTTCTCGGCTTGGTCTCTGATAGACCGTAAAGTTGTCTCGGGCGAGAGGGTCATCTTCCACTCAGAGGTGAGTCTGTTGTAGGCCTTGATCAAGGGAGGAAGTTCTTTTTCGCCGAAATCTGCGAACTTCAGGAAATTCAATCGGTCGAGAATGCGTCGGTACAAGATGGCTGCGCGCTCAATCTCTTCGGGAGCTGAGCTGAAAAAGGCTAGATCGGCTTGCCTGAGGAGCATCTGGCATTGATCTGGAAATGCAAATACCTGACTGGCTTGTAGGTCCTCTGAAGCTGCTTTAGGGTCGAGGTGGACCACACGGCGAGTACCCTTTTTTCCCTCGGCGCCTCGCTTGCCAGGTTTGTCGAGTGCATTAGGGCTGCGTCCTCCTTGGCCACCCTCCCCTAGTGAAATGTGAGCAAATATTTCCAAAATAAATCAAACATGGTCGCGTACCGGCTTTGATATGACATCTAAACGACATGTCTACTCCGAGACTTGTCGCCTCCGAAGAAAACCAACGCCGCACATCACTCAAAATCGTGCTTAAGTTGGTTTCATCCGACGTTTGGACAAGGTTATCAGAGACTCGAGCTGTCTTGATTGCCTCCGTGTTGTCTGTTGATGGGTCCAACTTTCCAAGTCTTTCTGTAGTGGCACTGAAGTGTTTGACAGCCTCACTCAGCGCATCTGCCTCAGGTGGCTCGACGCTTCTCAAATGAGTCTTGATAAGATCCTTCAGATCACTGGCTATTTCACTGCCACTGGAAAGATCATTGAGGGTACTGGCTACATCCACCAACGCCTGTTGATAATCCAAGTACAGCCCAAGGCACCTCTGGTCCTCGGAAGTGAGTCTTTTGGAAACATCATCGGGCATGTCAGTTCCCTTCAGTAAGGCCAGGGCCTGTTGTGGCCATGGCTGTTTCCTTAGTTTTACCAAACGTGCGGCCTTCCATTTATAGGCCGTGCCAACAAGCACTTCGATGTTGCCTGGGTCACAACTGTCAGCCAGTGCACTATAGAAATGGGAATGGATACAAAGAAAGCTTTGCTAGTATACCTCCATTGCCGGCAGTTCCACCATCACCTCCCGTGAATGACTTTTCCTGCTCAATTTTCTGAGCACCGCTATCCCCCCCTTTCCCCCCATCGCCTCCATAAGCTTTGATCTCGAGATTTTGCATCGTTTCCTTCGTGGCATCCTGGACGAAAACCCACACTTCACCAGCATTGCTGCCATTCTCTCCGCGGCTTCCATCAGCCGTTGCACTAGTCACACCTTCATTTCCACATTTACCAGACACATCAATCACGACCTTTTCAGGAAGTATCAACTCAGTGCAGAAAAGGCCAAGCTTTTTACTGGGAAGCGGCTGGATTTCTTTAATCTCAATCTTTTCGGAATAAATCAGACAGATCCCACTGTTGGTACGAAATCTGGAATCCAGGACATGGGGAGTGGATGATGCATTGAGGATGACTGTCACGTCTCCCTTCGTATACTCGGCGAAGGTTTCAGTGAATTTCTTGGGAGCTGGAGGCGGATCTTCGGTAGCTGGTGACATGTTGATTTTCAGCACTCGGGGCTGTAGGCTTTGACGAGCTATCAGACAGATCGTCGCAAATCCCTTATGAAATTGTCAACACAGTCTATACAAGGTAGATATTTCCAAAGTTTCAAATTTGAATAGACATGTCCAAGTGAGTATGTATAAGTATGGATCCTCGACAATTCGGAGGGTGTACTTCAGAACTTTCGAATTTATCCATGGATTTGATAAGTACCCATGCCTAGGTGAATACTACTCTGCAACTTTGGAAGTATGAGATGCATGATAGCACTAGAAGTTGAGTAATCGAGTCATGATTCATGTCCGATAAAAACTTCTAAAGTTGAGCTCTAAAAGGACGGTTCATGGCCCTGCGGTCAGTATACAACAATGTGGGGTGCATGGTTCATCATGATTCCAATGTTGAGTGCTAGTATTTAAGTAGACAGCGGTGCGAGAGACGCGGGATTTTTTAAGTTTTTGATAAATCAAATCCATAGATTTAGAGCCCTGGAGTATGAAATGTATTGGCCCACTCAAAGTAAAGTCATGATTCATCCCCAAGAGGAAGTGGTGTGATAGTCTCCGTCCTGTCACGGTTACATTGAGGAATTTCGACTTGTAAAGAACTTCCTAGTGAGAACCATCCGATCCATGGATATAGCCAGTAATTTCCAAGTCTAGACCAATACTCTTGACAACTTCCCTTTGATTTTTACTGTATTCTGTACTGACTGGTTCTAAATTTGTGAATCAATTGCCGCCCCCCCCCCCCCTACTTCGCTTCAGGATGATCGCTATCAGACCTCTAAACAAGAGAGAAAAGCATACAGTCCAACCCACTCCAACTGAGCCAATTGTGGATGTCTAATTTAGTAGTCGCTATCATACTACGCGTCATATATCCAGGTGAGCCCTGCAGCTATCATACTTAAGTACCTCAGTATCGCGCACCTCCCCTGCTTCTTCTGAGATCATCGATCACCTAGGTATTTCTTTTTCCCCTATACATTTTATTTCATTTGTGAAGCAAGATGGAAAGGAAGTCGCTGCCAGACTTGGCGAAGTCAATGGAGGGCAATGACGCTACATGGCAATGGGATGTTGTTGTATCCTACGACGAGAACAAGATTAACGAGATCCTGAACGCCAATCCCATTTCCGAACTAGAGGCTCTCCCAGTTCTAATCGGCCAAACAAAAAATGATGATGATGAGGATGTAGCTTACGAGTTCAACCTCAAACTCCCCCGCCCTCGTCTACAGTTCAAATCCGAATTTGGCACGGCGGCATTGGTTGCCGACCTGCAAGGCACATACAAGAAGAAGGGTTCAGATCAACAAATGAAGGATATTCCACCAAAATATCAATTGCAAATTGAGGTCCAACTTCTTAACGTCTCTGGCACGGCAACTTCTGAACGGTCCCCGGCAGTGCGCACCAACTACGTCGTGGATTTGGGCGAAGACCCGAAGGCAAGCCAAAGTATTTGTATCTCGTTCAACGAATCGAAAGCAAGGATCTCGCAAAAACCACCAACCCAAGAGAAGAGGTTGTCCGGTACCGTGATGGATGCGCTCGAGGATGTGCTGGGGACGAAATTCTCTGAAAACATCAAGAACCACTTCATCTCCGGAGTCAGCAGGCAGGGAGAAGATCCGGCGATGAATGTTCTGAATCCCAGGAGCTTTTGCTTCACGGTCATTCCAGGAGACTCCAAGATCCCTGGAGTCCTGACAATGTGGATTGGTGTCGAAGGTGGCCATAACAATGGGAAGAGGTCGAGTGGCCAAACCAATCTGTTCTTTGCTCCCGACGGACAAAACTCTACTTCGCCAATCCCAGACAAGTGCTCTGCCAGTATTATCTTCAGCCACGATATAATGGGAAGTCATTTTTTCGAGGTATGACTGGATGCACGTATCTGATTCCCGCTCACGCTGACTTTGAGACCTCGATTAGCCGAACTTTAGGAATACAGCAGGCAAGGTTAACATCACCTCCACGAAGGGCACAGGTAAGACAAGGAATCATTCTATGTCGCTTGGAAGCATTTGCTGATTTTGTAGCCGGAATGACCTTGACGTGCAATTTGAATTCCGGTCGTGTGAAAATCGATCCGTTTTTTCCAATAGAAAAGACCCATGACTACCAAACGGAATATAAGTATGAAGGTTTGGACTTCGAATGCAGTGATCCACCAGCAAAAATCACAGTCAAACCTGAACTTGCAACCAACCTTGACGATGCAGTCTCTATCAGCTACAATAGCGGCTCTCGGTCTGCTAAATGGACGTTTACGACCTATATTTTTAGGGGCGGGCCAACAAGGTGGGGTGAAGGGACGGTCCTATTGACCTTCACTTGCAAAAGTCTGGGTAAATGGTACGGCGGTACGGATTCTCAACCTAACCTGATTGGTCTCACTTTCAAAAGTGATCAAAAATGGGGCGTAACTGCAAAAGCAGATAACGGGGATCGAGACTGGCTTCAAAAGCTTTTCAATGTTGACGCAAAAGTTCCTGGCCATTACAAAGTGCTGGAGCCGCCAGCTCCTGACATCAAAGTGGAAATGAAGGGGCTGGATTATTTCCTCACCACCAACATTCTATTTCCAGGGAAGCACGTTTTCCACGCGCATCCGTTGACAGAGGAGACTCGGAAGCTGGAGCTGGGTCTAGCGTTTCCTCGGGATTTGATTTTGACGGGTGACATCAAGTTACAGTGAGACAATATATCTAGTCAGTTGGTCATTATTGTGATGCAAAAATTCAATTAATTTGATGCTATCGCTCTATACATGTTTATGCCTGAGCTGTAAGGCACTCATAACAACACCACTCGCACTCCAGGGGCTCTCTCTTCTCCATCTCACATGTTCTATCAGTAATGCTGCTACGCAAAGGGTTGTATATAGACACATATCACCCTGGGTGACTGTCTGACTCCCAATGCACCCATGATCCCAAATTTTCCAAGGGTATCCGTGTTGACAAATGTGATTCTCAGCAAGATTCCCCATTGCACTGCTTAGAGTAGAGCGATCTACCGATAGGTTGATACTATGTAGTTGAGAAAATGCGGAGTCCAAGCTTTTGTCTCAGGCCCCCAGGTCTTGGCGCCACGTCTGCCTGAAAATAGCGCGTGTCTGCCTGGACAGCGGAGCACGTACACTTGTTCATTCCTGATCGACATCTCACTATAAATGAACAGCCTCTTCCATTTCATCTCGTCTACAAAACAATTCATCATGGCTCTCCTCCACCCACAGCTTCAAATACCAGGGCTCAATGTGAAACTCGATGCACTACCCAAAGTAAGAACCCAAACTTAGGTCTTACCAACCTCGGAACATGTACTGACCTTCCAGGAATGTGTGGTCTCCAGAGGACAGTATGGCTTCTATAATGCATTGGATTCTCAATACTTGGAATGGGGCTGCAAGGCGTATGTTTCGATCCCATTTTAGTCAAGATCTCAAGGACTGTTTCTGACAATATTTAGCGACCTTCTCACGCACAGAGAGCTTTTGATGGTGCGGATCATGAACACGATCACTGAAAAGCCTAATTGGGAAGAAAAGGTACTTCTGCAGACATGTGACTATCCCTCGTTTTTGTTTTAACGTCGAGCAGGTCTTCAAAGAGGAGATCACCGGCAAATGGCGGGACGAAATCGCGCAAAGTGGCGAGGATGTGACCCCCAAAATGATGGATTGGATTATCAAAGAGCTTCAGTGGACGGCCAAGAATCTCGAAAAGACAGGATATATTCGAGTGTTTGACGTGGGGGTCATCAAGTCCGATACCGCTATACCTGAAGACGTCAGGGAAGCATTGAAGCAAGCGGTTCAGCCACTCGAAAATGTCCCAACAGATCAAAAGGATTTCCACCCAGACTCTGATGACAAGGTGGTGGATTTGGTACACCCATCGCTATTTCCAGTTATTTTTGGCCGAACCAGGGTTTTGAAGGACAGAATCCTTGGACTCCAGGACTGTTTAAGCCACATGGGAGAGGGCGATATCCTCCCCTCTGAGCCGTGTGCGGAACGCGAGATATATGAAGGGGACGCCTTCAGCAAAAGATTCCAGTGGCTTCCCTGCGAAGTGAAACTTCTCGATGACACTTGCCAGATTGAATCATACATCAATAACGCCCACCCGGTTCAGCACAAGGACTTGTATGGAGTCCTTGAGAAAATCATTTCTCGAGTCATTCCACTGTGGAATCAAAGTCTGTCCGAAATCACAGACTCACGGATCGGTCATCAAAAGTTGAAATATGGTGAGCATCCGGATCCAGAGCCGCAAGAGCCAGAAGGGGAAGACTACGATGAAGATGAATTCTATGAAACCTATCAAAAATGGCGGAACGCGCTTCCTCTGATTATCCCAGAGCCTGGGGAATTCAAGCCTCGAAATGTATATGAAGACCTCGATCTACGAAAGCATTTCCCGAAGACCAACCTACAAGTCATTGTGAAATTGGCGAACATTGAATTGAGCCCAGACAACCCCACCTACAAGGGAGGCTCATGGCACATCGAGGGGCAGCTAGTGAGTACCTTACACCAGTTGTTTGTTGGCCAGACGTTCTAAATTGATTCAGAATGAACGTATCTGTGCTTCCGCGATCTACTATTACGACTGCAAGAATATCACGGAAAATCAACTTGCATTTCGACAGCGCGGAATGTCGGATTTGATGGATCTGGAGTATGAGCAGAACCAGCATGAATTCCTCCAGGCAGTGTACGGTTTTGACGATGAAATCCACGGCGGTAGCAACAACGACATCACCCAGGATCTTGGAGCCGTGACATGCAAACAAGGTCGCCTCATCACATTCCCCAACGCCGTTCAGCATCGGGTCTCCCCATTCTCGCTGGCTGACCTATCTAAACCGGGTCATCGCAAGATTCTTGCGCTCTTTCTGGTAGATCCCCATCGGCGGATCATTTCTACAGCCAATGTTCCTCCGCAGAGGGAAGACTGGGGTCGTGAAAAAGCGAATGTGGTGGACCAGGTATTGTCAAACTTACCGATGGAGCTTCAGAATATGGTCGAGAGCGATCTGCACCCGCTGATGACCATGGAAGAAGCCAAAGAGCATCGATTAGAGCTTATGAAAGAACGTGGGCTCAAGTCGGAGGAAAACAACGGCAATTTCGAAAGGGGCGATTTCAGCCTTTGTGAGCATTAGCTTGTGGACACAGCTGAGACAAACATCCAGCTGAAGGGATAGCCTGCGAAGTTCTATGTTTGGGTATGCATAGCGACCAGGTCAAACTTTAGCTTTCCATTATCAGCCTTTGCAATGTTGGCCGTGAAATTGGGACAGATCATCTTCTGCCTCTACAACTGTCCCATAGGGCTTTTATATACTTAAAGTACTATTAATGAGCCAATTTGACCAGCCACATCCATTCCTTGCCGATATCAGTGGCTACCACTCCCTCGGGCCCGGTACCATCAGCATGGTAGCTAGCGCCATGCACGTTTTCACGTGTCGCGCATGACTATAAGTTTAAATTTGCCCAGGTGAAGTTATCTACAACCTTGGAAGTAGATATTTGATCCAATGTAAAGCGTCAACTTAGTGTACAGCGGTATTTGGATACGAAGTGACCGGACTGCATCTGCACGCTAACGGCTATTACTTCCGGGATCTGCAGTCCTCACAATTGGGCCTCGCGCACAAAATCCCCAAAATAAATACAAATACCAACCAAGATCTTCAAATGCTAGTGAATTTTCTGGAAGTGGAGTTCAAAGCCCTGAAAACAACAGATCACATCCTGTCGAAGTAGGGGACAATGCTGCATGATTGAAATCCCCGTTTTTTCGCCACCGGGTAGTGGATGTTTCTAAAGTTAACCCCCCTTTCACTTATTCCTTACCACTCAGGCACTCTAGGTTTCCAAGATGTCCCCAACAGATCGCAATTCAATGGCTATTCCGGATAGTCCGGAAGGTCAAATTCCACGCGAGGGTCACTCCAGTGCGATTATAATCCCCGACGAGTTCAGCGTATGTGCAGCCCGATCTCGGATCTTCCGAAGACTTATGCGGTGAACAGGATGAAGATGGCGAATTTGAGGCTGAGGAATCGGATATCACTTCTCTCTCGTCCAGTGTACTGGAATATGAATATGAGAATGGTCGGCGGTATCACAGCAGTCGAACTGGGCATTATATGTATGTTTGTGCTTCTTTTCCACTGCTCAAGTGTGGGGTCATCCGCTGACTCTTACAGGATGCCGAACGATGAAGAGGAACAAGATCGTATGGACTTGGTATGAAACCCACTGCATGTAGATCCAAATTTCAGAACTTCACTAATTGTTCTAGGCACATCATATGTCAGTTGTTTCTAAAGTTCTCCCCGTGAGACTGCGACGCTGACAATTTCCCCAGCTGGCTTATGTTATTAAAGGGCGAGCTACATAAGGCCCCAATCACAAATCCACGAAAGATTCTAGATCTCGGCACTGGCACCGGTATATGGGCTCTTGATATCGCCGAGTATGCAGCCCGTCCATTGTCCGACGCATTACTGACTTCGCATTAGAAAATTCCCTGGTTCTCACGTTATTGGAAATGACATTAGTCCAATTCAACCAGGCTGGGTGGCTCCCAATGTGGAATTTATTGTCGAGGACTTCGAAAGCGAATGGCTGTACCAGAAAGACAGCTTCGACTTTATTCATGCCCGATTGCTCGCTGGGTAAGTCATACCCTATAACCATTGACGACCGCAATCTCATCAACTGTATTAGCTGTGTAGGAGACTGGTCCCAGTTCTTCAGCCGGGTCTTCGAGCATGTAAAACCAGGCGGATATTTCGAGATCAAAGAAAGTGCCGTCTGGGCCTGGAGTGACGATGGCACACTCAAATCTGACTCGCCTCTCTTCCAATACCTCCAGGCCCTCGATAGCGCAGGACGAGCAATGGGTCGGGAACTTAATATCTATTATAAACTGAAAGAGTGGATGATTGAGGCTGGGTTCGAGGATGTTCAGCAGTTCACTTATCTTCTCCCGTACTCGCCTTGGCCGCGGGATCCTTATCTCAAGGAGATTGGGAAATATCAGGCTGTGATGGTTCAGCAAGCTGTTGAATCTTATGGGTTACGACTTTGTACTCAGGTGCTTGGCTGGGGTGCGGAGCCGGCGCGCATTTTCCAGGCTATGGTTAAGAAACAGTTGAGGGATAAGCATTTGCATGCTTATGTGAAGGAGTAAGTTGGCTTTTTCTTTTTCTTTTTCTTTTGGCTTTGTTGATGGATCGCTAACATTGCGCAGAGTGGTGGTCTATGGAAGGAAGCCTTTGAGCGAGTAACCAACTGCAGCATTGATACATACCCTGCCTCGTGACATTTTAGCGGCCAAAAGCTCCGTGTGATAGGTTCTTACAAAGTTTTCATTCGATGTTGGCCTTATTTTTGCTATTAGCGTTGCAATAGATGCCTGTTTCTTTCTCGCCTGGCCGCAAATTACTGTGAGATGTACCCTGAGCCCTGATATAGACAGTCATCGAGGCCAATTTCTAGATTGCCTGCTCAATCACCTCAAGCCTCGACCGGACCGACATTAACATGCTCTCGGCTCTGCAGCTTCGCTTGTCGCAGCTGTTTCCGCTTGATAACTTCTATATCCTTGAAACGCTTTTTGCCCCCATGTTTCAGCTTAGTGATCATATCAGCCGCCTGGCCACGAGTCAGGTCTTCGGGTTTGATCTGGCCATCCCGAATGTGAGCTGTGTTCAGGACCTTGATTTGTCCCGGTGTTGCTGGGGCCTTTCGCCAAGGTTTGTGCGTTGCAATATAATGCAAGTCGAATTTGCTACTGGCAAATGTGTCTGCTGCCCGTGCGATGGTTTCAAGATCTGGCCCTGTTGCGATCTTTCGTGGCCGTGTGAAATTGGGTGTTTGACTGTCTGGATTTTTCCATTTCATGACATGATATGATGTGAAAATGCCATCTTCCTTTTCGATGGTGAGCCATCCCGAGGCTTCGGCGAGGATGTATCTGTCATCGCCAACCCGAACCCAACTGTTCGGACTGATAGATCGGATATGTCTCTCTGACTGTATGTCTCCTAAGAGATCATAGATGCTGTCGTACGTTGTGAATTGAAGTTTGAGATCGTTGTCTGGACCACTGAGGGGCTCGTCTTCCAGGCTTGCGCTGCGATCGGGCTTTTCGCTAGGACTTTTGGCCTCGTCCCCGCTGACCTTGTCCATGACCTCGTCTGGGTCTAAGCCGAACAATGTTGGTGTTGATATGACACCGGTATCCAGAGACGCCACCATATCAATAACGTGGCAATCTTTTTTGCCAGGGAAGAGTCGCAATCCTCGCCCGATCATCTGAATCAGTAGATTTCGAGACCTGGTGGGTCGAGCAAGCAGCACACAGTCGATGTTCGGGATATCCGTGCCTTCTGTGAATAGACCGCAGTTTAGCAGAACTGGGAACTCCTGATTTTTGAAAGCCTTCAGCTCTTTGGCGCGGTGGGCCGTCGGTGTGTTCGATGTGATATACCTGGCATCTATGCCATTGTCGCGAAACGCAGCAGTAAGTTGCTGCGCATGCTCGATGTCGACACAAAAGACCAGTGTGGATTTGCGGTCCTCCACATTAGCCATCCAAGCTCGGATGGTGATATTGTTTGTAATCTCAGTATTGACTGCCTTTGACAGTGAGCCTAAGGCGAAATCCCCGAAACTATCTTTCTTGACTTTAGATAGATTGGCGCCGCTTTTCACTGTTGTGAACACGGCGTTGGCCAGCCACTTGTCGGCAATCATGTCGACATAATCTTTATGGTAGACAATGTGGTCAATGGAAGCTCCTAGCTTGAGTCCATCGAATCGTGAAAAGGTGGCTGAAACGCCGACCAGAACTGGGCCACTTGTAGATAGCTCGTTCAATCCGAAGTGGCCCAACGCCGTGCGATATGATTTTGCAACAATGTGGTGTGCCTCATCTACCAGAACAAGCTTGAAAGCATCTGGATCAAACTTGAATATTCGTCCTCGCGATAGTGTCTGAACAGTCGCAATGATAATGTCCCCTACTCCAGTCGCGACACTCGTGCCTGATTCGATTTCCACTGTTTTTTCGGGGTATGCAAGGCGGCAATGTCTGGCAGCTTGTTCCACGAGTTCTCGTCGATGGACAATGATCATAGTCTTGGTGGCTTTCGCATTGGGAGGGGGGATTCGGCTGATAAGCTGTGTAAAGATGACCTGGTGGAATGAGCAAAGTATTCAAAGACCAAATTGGAAGTTGAACGTACTGTTTTACCAGCTCCTGTAGCAAGGGAAATTCCCAACCGTCTGTGGCCGTCGCCCAAATACTTCAAGACGGATTGAATGCTCTCCTCTTGGTAGTCGCGGAGTACGACCCCCGGAGTGGCGGTCGACTCATTGGTGTTAAACCGCACATGACGCGGTGGACTTGGCAGCAATTGCCTTGCCCAGTATCTCGGGAGCTTCAACCGCGAAGCACAACGTAAGAGGTCCATGCAAATGGTCGAACGAGGAATCTCCCGATGCGAGACAAAAGACATGCAAACAGTGCAAACCTCTTATCGATAAGTGGATCGCGGCAGGTCGACTTTTACCTGTCACTTTCACAGCTCGTAAATGACCTTTTGGAAGCGCAGTTGTGATGTGTTGCTACAAATTCCGCATGCGCTGCGAATCTGCCAGCTCGAATCATGAGCGACGCCGAGATTGAATCTGACCCGGGGTACTCCCCGTCCCCGTCCATATCCTCAGAGCGCTCCACTCCAGATCGCGAAGCTTCCCGCGAAGCTTCCAACTTGTCTACTCGGGACCGTGACGAAAAGTCTGACGATGTTGAACGCTTGCTTGGTGAGGCGCTTATGCGTCGCTCACCACGGATGCGTGGGTCACTTTTGTTTCTTCGAACCTACAAACATCTACTCGCGGAGTCTCAAAAGGAGATCGATTACACCTGGTCACGGCATGAAGAGGACGTTTTTCAAGTGAGCCAGTATGGCTCAGTGGTTTGGACTTCTACGGAGAAGGAAGCATTCTTTAACGCGCTGGACCGCAAGGGAAAGGGCGGCATCAAAGAGCTTACCGCTGCAATTGGCACAAAGTCTGAGCTCGAGGTCATGGACTATATGACACGCTTGCATCAGGCCCTGGACGCTCAGTACTGCTCCGAGGCACAGGTTGAGTCCATGCCTCTGATGGCTGATCTCCCAGCAGCCAAGGAAATTAGTCCGCAGGGCTGTGAACTGCTTGATGACTATGCAGAGGTTCTGGTCTTGAAAGATTCCCTTGCTGAAGCTCAAACGAAAGGAAAGCAATATGGAGATTACTGGAACCTCACCGGTGATACCGCTTCGGAACTAATGAACGTCATTGACGGCGAGGACGACGGTACAGTCCGAGGTGATCTCCATCTTGCAGCCAATTTGCTCTATGTCCCCGAATGGATCTCACTATCCCGAGGACTATTCATGAACTTTGGAGGTTCGAAATCAGAAAATCATTGGAAGAAAATCGCCAATTCAAAACAAAACATCACCGCGCAAAATCAGACGCCTTCAATGACCGCAGGATCTGTCGTGGACTTCTACACACTCTCTGTCAGCATCACACGGCGCCTGGTCCAATCATCCATATTCTTCGCCATGTCGAGGCTACGAGGCGTAAACCGCAGCGGTCATGACCGAGGAAATTTCATCCGCGTCTCAGATGTCCGTGCAGCAATCGAGGTGCTCAACATGAAGCATCGCCGGCCCAATTTCGTAGACACAGCTCGCCGAAATGAAGTGGAAATAGCAGATGTCCACAATCGCAAAGACTGGGTACCTACCCCATTCACCTATGAAGAGGTTGAAGAAATCATCGACAAATCCGAATGGTCCAAATACCGCAGTGACGCAGTCAAGTCAGGGGGGATCAACATGGAGGAAGAAGACGACGCCGAGTCCGAAAGCGAAGACTCGAACTATGGTCCTGAAGAAGATGAACAGGAGGCAGAGCCATCATCGGACTACGAACCAGAGGTCGTGGACTTGGATCCCCCATCTTCCCGAGAGGGATCACCGGCTTCGTCCCCGCCCGGATCATCTGACGAGCTTGAAATGGATCCCGAAGAAATGCATGCAGATCTGGTAGATGAATCGACTAGTCGTCGTGAGGAGGCGATGTTCCTGCGTCTCATGGACAAGGCCGTGCCATCGGATGAACAATCTGTCAAGCAAGAAGATCTTGAAGAGGAGCTCCAAGCACCCCCCGAGCGCAGAGCCAGAGAAGAAGTCTTCGACTGGCGAAGTCGGGTTCTCTATCGCAGTGAATGGGAGGAATATGGATACAACTTTGCCGATCTGAAGGGGGAATTCGAAATGCCTCCGCAGAAGCGGCCTCGACTCAGCGAGCCGGAATTACCAACGCCCTCAACACCACCCCCTGCGAATGAGTAATGAAACCCATTGACGCAAGCGAAGGATTTGATGAACATGTACCGACAAGTGCAGCGAGACAGAGAACAAATACAGGCATTCCGGGCACCATACATCATACCATACAGAGCCCGGGAATTACAGTGATACTTTACAACTACTTTAATTCAGAATCACATCAAGGACGTATGATTAATTGTAAACACAATGATGAAAAAAAAGATCCCCGACCCCTAATTTCACACCCAAGCGCAATCCGCTTCTGGAAAGAGAGGTGGATTCGTGGAAAACTCCAACAGTAAAAGCAAAAAAGCAAAACGTGCGCCTTTTCCTGGCCAGAAATTTCAGAAGATTCATAACTCAGCAAGACTAGCAGCAGGTCCCTTGGCTTGAAGATCCAGGGGGGATATCGTACATGGAATGAAAGAAACCTAAAGGTCAAGCGTCTTGTAGTCGGCGCCAGGCTGGGCGCTTAAAGGCTGGGTTCCTGCGCGCATGTCACCGCCAACAGGCTGGAAGCTGTAGTGGTTACCAATGCCGGTGGTGGCGGCGTCAGCAAGCATCTGATTTGTGTGCTCGCTGGGACCTTGCAGGCTGACGGTCTGGAGGGCATCCTGGGCTTCCTTCACGCGCTTCTTGAAGGTCATGCGGTCAAGGAAGAGCTGCTGGCGGGCCTGTTCGAGTTCGCGGCGCTCAGCCTCGATGATTTCTTCCATCTCGTTGAATTGCTGGAGTTTGACTTCGAATTTCTGCAGAGTGACGTTGACTGCGGCGGACACCAGACGGGTCATTTCACGCTCTTCGTGGGAAGCGAGGGCTCCAGCGCGGGCAGCAGAGGCAGCCAGTGCGATGGTACCGAGTGATTCCTTGGGCTTGTCGCTGGCTTGCTCAGCCGCACGAGAAGGATCCACATCCATGGAGTCCTCGGTCTTGACTGCATCTTTGCCCTTGTCTCCTCCCTTCTCCAGTTGGTTGCGGAGCTCCTTGCGGATTTCTTCGACGGAACGTCCGGCCGCGGCAGCGGCAACTGCGGGCTCGGCCATCTGGGCCAGGAATGCGACCACAGACAGCACGGGGTTTTCGGACTGGCTGATAGGGTCGCGTCCGCCGCCAGAGCGCAGCTCGGGGATATCCTCGACGTACTTGTCCTCAATCTCCAACTGCAAGAACTTCATAACACACTCTTCCCGAGACCGTGTGCCAACGTGGTTCGCAATCTGCTCCCAGTTATCGTCAAAGTTCTCAAGACCCTCGAGCAACAAAATAGTTTCCGAATCGGCCCACGGAGCGTCCTTGCCGGGAACTTGAGAGTGGCCCTTGTCCTCAAGCTTAACGAAATCCGAGGCACTGTGGCTGGAGGGCATTCTTCCTTGCAGGAAACAGTTAGAGCACAGATCATATTTGGTGTCTGGTGTGTTGGCATTGGCTGAGGTGGAAGTTGATTTGGCGTAGTGGAATCGGAGCTTGGTACAATCGATACCGCAGGAGAAACAGTGTGCCTTCTTTTTAGACTCCCGGGCGATATCCAAGCCATTGCTTGATTCGCCGTTGGTTTGTCTTTCCTTATCATCGGCCGGTGTAACATCCTTGCCCTTGTCGTCATAAATGGTGCGACGCAGTTCGAAGTTCAGATCGTCCTTTGATGCAGGGGTGGAAGAGGCCGCGCGCTGAGTAGCTGGAAGAGCCTTGCCAGATGTGACGCTGTGGTTTGGACCTGGCTGGAATGGTTGCAGTCCGCGTGGGGTATCAGCAATCACTCGGAAGTGACCGGTGAATGGCGGTCCAATATTGGAGGGTCGAGTCTGAGGGTCGACCTGCGAAAGCGTTAGTCAATGTGCTTGGAAAAGTAGAATCCAAACTACTCACCTGGTAGTTGATCAAGCCCCACTGCTCGAGGAATGAGTGGACACGCATAATCGCGCACACATCACCTGCAAGGTTACGGCGACAAGCCGTGACAGTCAGGTACTCAATGGGGTTCAATCGGTAGGTGTTAATCATAAAGTCGCGGTAGTCTTTGTAAGTTGCAGGGGTCTTGCTGCGGTTGCGACCATTGAAGAACTCGGCGAGAGCTTTCTTCTCGATCGGATTGATAGTATTCATGTCGAACCATGTGGCGTAGCTGGGGAGGATGATCGCATGTGTTTGAGTGACGAGTTGTTCGCGCGCAGCAGCCTCGAGGGAGGACTTAGTAGGCGCAGGCTGATCTTCCCCTACGGCATCCTCCAAGCCATCTGCACCATCCCCTGATGGGTGCGCTTCGCCCACGGCATCTTCCAGGCCACCCATCTCCTCATCTTCCAATTCACCGCCATTCTGAGGTTTGGGCGAGGCGGGGGCGTCGAGAGGATCGTCGGATCCACCGGCGCCTTCGGTCTTTCTGGCAGGTGAGTCTTGACGCGATTGGGTCTCTGTCCATCTTGTTAGCTTTGAATGTCACATTGAGGCTGGTGAGGCCTACCGGAAGCGTCGCGGGTTGCCGATAGTCGATCTAAACCAGAACCCTGCTGAGCATTCTCGGGGACGCCAGCTGAGTTAAAATGGGTGTCATCCATGATGGGTCAAAGAAAGCTAGCAGCCGTCGCGGTATGATGATTCAACTCCTTGCCCTTCTTCCAGTCCGGCCTCGCAAAGCGCAATATTATCGCAAGGTAAAACAGCCGATAGCCAATGCACGTGTAAGCTTTGGCCAAATGAGATGGACAAATATGGAGGTGATGATTGAACTGATTGCTGAGGGGGCGACTCGGAGGAGGTTGGTCGCGACACGCAAAACTCACGGAGCGCCAAGACTCGGGTTGCCGCTAGCCGCTTTTGGACAGCACCCTTTACTCTCTTACTTTTAAGTATACACACTACACTTCTGTAATTATTACCTTGCATTGGCCAATGGAATTTACTATTCTTGTCGTAGAGATGGAATTTAGAACTAGAAAGTCTGGTATGTACCCGCATAGAGAAATGACTATAGAAGCATCAAGGGTTGGATGTATGTATTTCAAGGTGATGCGGCAAATGAGTCCCATGAGAGGAACATATCAAAGATGTTGAAATATTCAAGTATTAAGCAAAACGATACAGCAAAGAACCGAATCCAAGTCCATCAAAACCACCCGAATTAGGACCATAGTTACCACCTCCTCCTTCAACGCCATTTGTAGAATTCCCATTAACCCAATCGCGATAGGAATCAGTCCAGTACGAATCCAACCCTTTAACATGTCCATAGTGAGCAGACAGCAACTCAAACCCAGGACGAACAATGCCACGCGAGTTATTCGAAACGACAGCCTGGGGTCCCTGATAGCTCTCATATAGAGTATAAGGCACATCGAAGCCAACATTATACTTGCCCGCATACTCCGCGCTAGAAAACAGCGTTAGTGTCATACAAAGAGCGAGAGAGAAATGATACTCACGCATTGAGAATCTCATTACTAAATTCGGCAAACAGGTCGTCACCCTGGTTATACGCCTGCTGCGCAACGATACCAAAGAGGACCATATCAAGCGTGGAATGGCCCTGATCACGACCCGCTTCTTGGCCTTGTGTCAAGACCTTGTTCGACCCCTCTTCGGTATAATTGGCAATAGCAAAGACGGGAAGGGCGCCATTGGAGGGACCGGTACGGACATAGTCCAAGGCATAGTCGTACATGGTCTGATTATCCGTGAAGATACCAATAGCAAGAAGGGAGGCAAGATTGCACAGATCCCAATTAGCGTAGTAATGGTAATAATCCTGACCATTGTGTTCTTCCATGAAACGTGTGTTCATTGCAGCAAAAACGTTGGTCAACATTGTTCCTGTGGCTGTCTTATTGGTACTATCCCAGCCGGGATAGTCTGACATGAGTTCTGCTGCATTGGCCATTTGGTATCCGTATAGACCGGACGCGAGGAACTTGTCGCTGGTGCCTTCGATGGCGACGAGGGAAGATGCCCATGAGCTGAGGATGTTGATTGCAGCATCGGCGTAGCTTGTGTCGTTTGTGACTCGCCAGCGTATGGCGAGTTGGTAGGCGGCTGCTGTGTCTCGATATAGAGATGGGTAGTTTTCACTATCCACCCCATTGTATCCTCTGTATACTGTTTCCTTGGGGGTGGGTTGGTATGACGATTGGGCGTAGTCGCTGGTGGTCAAAAGAGTCCAGGTCGTATTGTGCGGTTCAACTTCATCGGCCAGGTAGGTATTTATACGCATGAAGTCCTGCGCGGTATGAAGTGCCCCTGGATGAACAAAGGCCAACGCTGACACCGAGAAGGCTAGGAGCGATGGTATATTGCGCATTGTCGTTCAGATAAATGGGCACCGGGATGGGATGAGTGTCTCGTCGTGCCTGGGATAGGCGCTTGAGAAGTACATGGTGTGATTGTTATATGATTAGACTTGTTAGCTTCAAACACGCATATTAGAGCCAAGCTTCACAGTACCGGCCGACTGAGAAGTGGTAACTACCTAAACGCGCAAGTGATCGGCACGTCATATTGTAGTGGAGTTGAAACGTTTCATATTGAAACAGAAGAAAGGAGCCGACCAAGCCTGTATCTCGGCTATTGCACCAGGCCAGCGCGAGTAGTTTGATGTTTCTGTGAATCAGTGATTGAGCTAGTTGTATAGCTTCCAAGCTCACTATTGACAAGGCAAGTGTCAAACAGCGCTGTAAATTTGATTATTAACATGGTCTGAAATCCAGCCCCTATGTGAGCGCGGGATCATGCAATTGCCCCGGGACAAAACATGTAGATCAGTGATCATCGAGATAAAATCCAAAAATGCACCACGAGGTGACCAAATGTATTGTGAAAGACAAGTCCAAAAATAGAGTAAGTAGTCTATAAGGTATCTAGAACAAGCCAGATCCACTTCCAAATCCAACAGAGTGAATGCTATATAGCCCAAAAAATGCTCTCAAAAGGCGATGGCTGAGCGGTTCATATATTCATATAAATGTTGTTTATCATGTTTGTACGCGTTTAGCGGTACTTGTTCATGAACTCGGAGTGGAACTTGACGATGCGCTCAACCCAGTCGGTACCGGGGGCGAGGAAGGTGGTGCGGAAGTGAAGAGTGCCCTCCTTCTGGCCGAAGCCGGAGCCAGGAACGACACAGACACCGGTGGCGTCAAGCAGAGCCAGGGAGTAGAACTCATCCGCGGCGCGGCCCTCAGCCTTGGCGGCTTCAATGGCCTTGGCGGGGAGGTTGATGGTGGGGAAGAGGTACATGGCGCCCTATTGACGATTAGTATGAGATAAAGAACAGTTAGAAGTCAGGTGGTACACACCTGGGGTTCCTGGCACTCAACACCTTCCATGCGCTGGAAGGCATTGAACAGGGAGAGGGCACGCTTGCGCAGACCCTCGGAGATACCAGTGTATTCCTGGTTGTACAGCTCGAAGCTAGGCTCGCCCTCCAGGGGAGGGTTAACCATGCACTCGAGAAGGCACTGTGCCACGACCGGCGGGCACAGACCAATGCTGACGAGCTTGTAGATCTGCTCCTGAACACGGGGGTCGAAGCCGACGAGTTCAAAGTAGCCACCACGGTGGCCGCACTCGCCAACCATGCCCTTGGAGATACTGTGCAGCGAGACCAGCTCGACGTCATCGTACTTGCCGGGCTGCTCCTTCTGGAGCTGGCGCAAGCGCTTCTTGAAGGAGACAAACTCGCCCTTGAAGACGTTTGTCTGGTAGACCTCGTCGGCAATCACGACCAGGTTCTCCTCGGCGGCAACATCAATGACCTTCTTGATATCGTCCGCGCTCAGAGAGGCTCCGGTGGGGTTGCCGGGGTTGATCACGACAACGGCGCGCACGTCGGTACCGGCGCTCTTGGCGTCCTCAATAGACTTGAGGATGGCGTTAACGTCGGTACCCCAGGCCTTCTCCTCTTCGAGGAGATAAGGAACACAGCGGGCGTTCAGCAACGCGAGAGTTGCGGTGTAAAGAGGGTATTGGGGGATAGGGACCAGAACGCCGGCATTCGGGTTGTTGCAGATGACGTTGAGGAGAGTGCTAACTCCGGAAGAGGCACCGGCAGTCAGGAAAAGGTCCTGGGGGTTGGCAGGGAATCCATCACGGTTCTCGATGAACTTGGCCACACTGTTGCGGATACCGGGGGCACCCTGGCTGTGACTGTAGGCACCAACGCTCTGCACGTTGGCCAGGAGAGTCTGAGCACGGTCGATGACATCCTGCTTGTATCCAAACGAGGTCTTAAGGGCCTCGGGGTTCTCCAACAGGAGGGGGTTCTCGACGAGACTGAGGACCTGGCGGAAGAAGGTGATGGGCTTCTGGTCGAGCTGCTGGGGGTTACCGATGTTGGCGAAGATGACACTCTCAAAAGGCAGAGACTTGTCGCCATCCATCAAGCGCTGGCGGTAGTCCTCGGCCTTGACGGCCAGCTCACCGCGCACGGCGTACTTGGCCTCCCGGACATTCTCGTTGATGTTATCGACGTTGAGGCACTTCTGGGTTTGGTAGGCCGACAAGGTGCGCTTGGCGGTGTAGGAGACAGTGGTCTGCGACATGGTGGGTGCTGAATTAACCCGAAGGATGTTAGTGAGGTTCAAAATAGCAGTGTTGTGTTCCCCAATCTTGGGTGAATCGAATATTTAGGGTTGAGATAACAACCAAAAGTGGGCAAATCGACCAAGTAATCACACCACACAATGACGTGAGATCTCGAACGCCAGAGAGTGCGGAGCGTTCAATCTATATAATACCGGGGTAACACGTACCTGACCAAGCGGAGAGACTCCCCGCAGCACCGCGGGCGGCCGGGCGATATAGGGGACCATTCGGCCGGGTCAGTGCCCGTAGCGGAGATGCCCGCGCGCTGGAGGCGAGCTTGTATTGCCAGGACATTTTTTGGTTTTTTTGGTGGTCAATCAAGGTCTGTGATTGATCAGTGAAAAAAGTCCCTCAAACTCGAACCCCTGTGTGATTGTCCGCTTCACAACCGGAAGAAGAAGGGAAAAAACCCTGGGCCTTGGCTATTGGGCGGTGAGAGCGGTGAGTCAGCCTCCCCCACACCGGAGGCCGATTACGATAAGGATGTGCACTATCGCTATCAGGGGCCATTGGGGCTATCAGGGGCTATCAGGGGCTATCAGGGCTACGGCGCATACTTCTTTTTTCCTCTGTAGACACCGGTGTGAGATCGGGAATGAGACCGACGATAAGGTCTACGCACAACTACACGTCAGATGTAAGACTGACTCTGCATATGATAGCCGGCATCAGGGGCCGATCATTTTCCCTCGGAAAGGCTGACACTTGCCCGATTCGACGGTAATCCGGTGGCGCCCGATGCGGGGGCCTTCAGGATCGACTGTTAGTCAAGTGGTCTAGGCATTAGTCAATTGTTCTGGATGTTCACGGCTTCCCGGGGTGAAGCGATGCTACCCTTATGGCGGGTCATAGAATCACGCGGTAAATATTCTCCATTCAGGCATACATAGTTGATCATAGTTGGTAGTTCCACAGGGCTTCCGGGTTCTCACTCGTTGATATACCATTTTAGCTTCGCTCGCTTCCCCGAAGACGCACAGCTTGGCCGTACTTCTGGATCTTAGTGATCAGAGAATCACCGTGCTTCACCACGTCGGCATATTGCTTGTTCTTGTCATCGGGACGATTTGTCTCAATGATTCCGTTGACACGGTCGATAGTGCAGGCAATACGGTTGTTGGAGATAAACTTGGCAAGGTCACTGTGACAGGTTAGCAAATGAAGCGAGGTCGGGGAACGGAAAAAAGCACATACCGGTCCAGGTAATCGACGGTCACACCGAAGTCGTTGGCCATACCAGTCAGACCAACCACGCGGTAACTCTGCAGAAGTTGCTGATAGGCACGGAGACGCATTTCACGGACGAACCAGGCGCGGTGCTCGTGTAAGTATCGGTCTTGTGTGAGGAACTGGTCTTCAACGCCCGCGAGGGCCACAAAGAATGAACGGTAGTTGCCATTGTACAAGCTGTTAACCAAGTTCGCCAGCGGCGTAAAGTCCACTGGCACTTCGGCATCCACTGGAGCACTAGCTCCGGTGGAGAAGGAAGTCAGATTAACGGCGGTGGTGGCACCAGCCGGGGTAGACCGCGATGCTGTGGCATCCTGCATCTCCTCGTCCCGAGCACCGGCACCCGCGGAGATTTCTCCACTGAGGGCGGCCAATTGATCCTCCGTAGAGCCCAGGATGGCCTTGATCTCCGGTGCGTCCACCACCTTAGCCTTGAAATCCACCCGCTTGAGGGACAATGATCCCGCAAGCACTGAGTAGATCACCAACGAAGAGTAACTGCACAATTCATAACTTGTGAAGGTAGAGAGACTGTCAAGGAGGAGAGGAGCGGCGAGGCCGTAGGCGCGAATGGTGAGGAGGTGCAGGCCCTTGTATGCCTTGAGGCGGTTTCTGCGGTCCCAGTCTCCACCGCTCTCGACCAAGGTCTCTGCGCGCTCGATCGTCTTCTTCACAAACAACAGATCACCGAAGAACAAGCCAATCCGGAGCATGGCCATCACCAGATCAATCTTGGTACCCAGGAACCCGGTCTTTTCCAAGAGGGCTTCGTGCGATTCGATAGCTTTGTCCTATTGAAACGGCATGGTTAGACCCGACATTGCGGACGTGGAAGCTAAATTGATCTCACCTTGTCTCCCACACGAGCCCAGAACTCAGCGCGCTTCCCACGCGCAGCTTGTACCTCGGTCTCACCGGCAGCTTCTTCTGCCTCGTCTTCCTCCTTCTGGAAGCCTTCCAGCTCCTTCTTGTTATCCTCCACCAGGGACTGGTAGAGCTTCTCATCCCAAGGGAAATCGAACTTTTGCGGCGTTTTGCGAGAGGCAAGCAGATTGGAGGTGATGAGCGGCTTCGTTGAAGTTCCGCTGTTCTGTGGGTACTGTGTGACGCCTTCGCCGGCATTGTTCAGGATGCCCTCAGTGGGGTGGGCCAGATGCCGATAGAAGGGGGCCATCTTGTGCTCGGAGATGACATCCTGAAGCTTCTTCAATGAAGTCTGCTGAACGGATGGCGCGCATGCCGGGTTGGAGAGGTTGAAGACATGTTGAGCGAGGGAGAGGTTGGGGAACTTGATGTATTGCGGATCAGACCCCATGATGGCGGTAGGGAGCTAGGTGTGCTGAATAAACTGCCAGACAAGAGTGAAACTCGATACCTAGGTGAAATAGGGAGATGATGGGAGCTGGTGTTTGGAGATGATCAATCAAGCCAGGTGCATCACCGTAGCCGTCTCTTCACCGCCCGCCGAGCTCAGCTGGCAGAATGTTTCTCCGAGCCGATGAGCTACTGCCTCAGCGCTGTTCCATTTGAGAATGTCAATTTCATTGTGAAAATGCATATTGTAATCCTAAATGAACTCTTGGTAACGAGCGCTGTAGGCCCGGGTTTTTTCTGTCATCCAAATACTTGGCTCAAGAGTATATCTATACTTAAGCATGAGACAATCATACGGAGTATCTCGTGCGGTATATGCTCTTATATATTCCTCCCTTCAGGCCTAGGTATTACTTAGGTAACCTTCAGGCTTTGAAGAACCGAGAAAGGGTCTCAAGATCATCTTGGTTTAATGGCTGTTAAAGTTCCAAGTTTGTCAATCTAGAACTTTAGAAACCAAACATTGGACAGGAACAACGGACCACTCGAGCACTAAGCCATTTTGTTTGGCTCAGCCTTAGGCTTCCAAGGTTTTCATCTGGAATTGTCTCGATGGAGTCAGGGGCAGGGTGATTCTTTCAATACTTAAGCAGTAACATATTGCCTAGGCGATCTAGTTTGTGACACGATATATTTCTATTTGACCCGATGGGGACATACTGGTTTGAGCCAGACTTCAGGACCAAGGTATTTCGTATGATCTAAGTAGTGAGATGTCACACTCGAGCACCATGATTCGTACTTAAGTACTTAAGTACAGTCTGGCCTTAACCTCAAGCTGTACGTTGGTTTAGTCTCGGGCTGGGCAAGGCCAAGGAACCGTGGCCTGAGCGTAGGGCTTATATGGAGAGTAGGGCTGAGGTATCAATGTACTACTTAAGTACTTAAGTAGTACTTCTAAAGTTACCTAAGTTACCCGTATACTTAAGTACTTAAACTCCGGAGGATCCGTGGATGTCAAGTCTCCTGTTTAGGAAAGTGCGAATTCCTGGGATCCTTCCACATTTTCCTGCGCACGTGGCCTCGGGATAGGATGTCAATTCTCAACTTCTCCTTTCACCTCCACACTCCATGGGTCTCAACAACCATCCAAGGGATCATATACAAGATGCGATATAGGAACTTTGGAAACCTGGAACCGGGAAGGATTCAACTGCTTGTGAATAAGGCTGGAACCAGAACCTCCCGGGTGCAACGTTGTGTCTCCCGCTTTATTGGCCAGAGGGGTGTGATACTTTCAGCGCATCTCATTGGCCCAGACAGATTGGAAGGCACACGAGCTGAAGCTAAACCGATAGCTTTCGGGGGCCGGGTCCCACTAGGTTCCGTGACCTGGTTAGACTCGGTCCTGGACACCTTATGATAGGTACCTGGTACCCCGTTCTACATGCTATGCCCCAATCCAGATAGTCACCTTCTTGCCATGAACTTTTTTTTTCCCTTTCCCTTTCTTCCTTCTTATATCTGGACATCCCCCAGGCTATCACTTCTCTATAACATTTCTCTCAGTGCAGCACCTGGGTCTCTCGTCATTGTGATCGGGTGATACAACAAATCTCCCTGCGCATTGGCCTCACCCCTCAAATACTTCCCTCAATCTGCGGCTCAAGGAGCACGCGACACACTGAAATTCTTGGCTCTCCGTTGCAATGGCCGAAATCCAGTACCCCAAGGACATGTCCGAGAAGGACCAGACGCCTCTCGAGGTGGGCCAAGGTATTGAACTCGAGAATGTCGAGAAAGGGCGCTGGGAACGCAGCTGGCCCACTATTGCATGTGGTGCGGGTTTATTCTCCGATGGATACCTCAACCAGGTACGTATTTTCCCCAGTCTGCATCCGATCATGTCCAAGATGCAATACAACAAATTGGTACAGAGTAATTTGGTTAACCTAAAATCTAGATTATTGGTCCTGTCGGAACCATGCTGCAGAAAATCTATGGAGATGCTTACACCAACTCCTCGGCTCAGCAGAATGTCTCTTCCATTGTGTTCGCGGGTACCGTGGTAGGAATGTTGCTCTTTGGCTACACCAGTGACCACTGGTCGCGCAAATGGTCTCTGATGATCTCGACCATCATTCTTTTCATCTTTGCGGCGCTGGGCGCTGGTTCGTACGGTGCCGGTGGAAGCATTGGTGGCATGCTCGCTGCTTTGACGGCATACCGTTTCTTCCTCGGCATTGGAATTGGTGGCGAGTATCCAGCTGGATCAGTGGGCGCTGCTGAGAACACCGGAGAACTCAAGGCTGGACATCGCAACCGCTGGTTCATCATGTTCACCAACTTCCAGATTGACTTTGGATTTGTCGTTGCTGCGCTGGTATCCATGATCCTAGTCCTGATTTTCACTGAGGACCACTTGCGCGCTTGCTGGCGTGTTGCCCTGGGACTGGGTGTCATCCCTCCTCTGAGCTTGATGTATCTTCGATTGAAGATGAACGAACCGGAGGAGTTTAATCGGGAGCGCATGCACAAGTTCCCGATCTGGCTAATTATCAAGTAAGTGTGGTCTATACTGATTGTGAAACGTATGTTAACAGCCATGGTAGATTTTATTGGAAGCGCTTGGTAAGGACTGTTCGACTTTGGTTTTCAAGGGGCAATTTCGCTAACGTCTCATGTAGACTGTCGTTTCTGTCATCTGGTTCCTCTACGACTTCTCTGCCTACAGCTTTTCGATTTACTCCTCGGCCTGGTTGAGTATCATTCTTGGCGACAATGCGCCGCTGTGGAAAAGCTTTGGCTGGTCCACTGTCGTCAACCTTTTCTATATCCCAGGCTCTGCCCTTGGAGCCTTCATGAGTGACTGGATTGGCCCTCGATACACGCTCGCCCTTGGTGTCGGCCTCCAAGGTGTCATTGGATTCATCATGGCAGGATGTTACAAGTGGCTCGCGACGCCAGAGAACGTTGCAGGCTTTGTAGTTGTATTCGGGTAAGATTGAACCGATATCGCTCACTTGAAACTCCCCAAACTGACACAGGAACAGTATCTTCTCTGCCCTCGGTGAGATGGGACCCGGCGACAACATCGGTTTGTGTGCCGCCAAGACCAGCGCAACTGCCATCCGTGGTCAGTACTACTCCTACGCCGCCGCATTCGGCAAGATCGGAGCCTTCGTGGGCACCTACGTGATCCCCATTATTCAAAAGAACGCCCCCAACGCCGTCCGCAAGGGCCAAGATCCCTTCTGGGTCTCCAGCTCCCTTTGTCTCCTGGCAGCATTCATGGCCATTTTCATGATGCCGCAAATCAACCAGGTACTGACCAGCCTTTCGCACCAAATGATTCCCCTCTTCCTCCATGCGCTAATCACCAGTTAGGACACCATTACCCACGAAGATGCCCGATTCCGCGACTACCTCGAAGCCAACGGCTACGACACCACCACCATGGGCAACCAAGATCGCCAGGCCCGCGCCCAAGAGTAATCAAATAATCCAGCGACAAGCCCTCGCGACACACAGCTCACCCAGTTGTGCACCATACCCCCTTGATTCCAAGCGACCTTAGACCCCATGCGACAACAAGCGATCAGTGTTCCCAATTCAGCACGATACGATTGATGAGACAGCGACTTGACGGCCCCTGCGACAACAATTTTCCCTTCCAGCTACCGATTGCGACATTGTACTCAGTATGAAAAAAAGAAAAGCCAAAAACACGGGCAAAGAACATCTGACCTGCTGGTCTGAATGATTGATGCATTTCTGTGGGATAGGAAGAGATTAATTCACTAGCTTTCATGGGTTTCTAGATACACTCTAGGCCTCATCTAATAATCCGATTCCACAGTTTGAACCATTTCCTTAGCTTGCACAGGGTTGATAAGATTGCGGTCATCTCATCCCATGAATTCGAATGGGATTTAAGTACTCGTCACGTCGTACATTGCAAAGCCCTGTACCATGCGTACTTGAGTATAACCAACTAGACCTGCCTCCAAGCCATGTGAGCGATCTTGATATCCAACTTAGCGGCTTGGCAAGATCTCCGTACACCGTATCCCTATCAGAGCTTACTGATTTCATATAAAGATCAATTTGCAATGGTCGGATACCTGCCGAGGACATTTGCTCGGTTGTATAAAGTTAAATGTTCCGTATGGCCCGAGGGAGTCTGGAGTCTGAATTACAGAGTATACGATCAAGTTGGTCGTCTCGTGAGAATTCTGTAATTCTGGAGTCTAAAGAAAAGTGCAGTTTGGTTGATCACATATCCTGAGTGGACAAATTGGACAAATTCGATACAGTCCTTTCAAAAGCCGATCGGGTCTGACGAGTCCCAAAGAGTCGGTGATGCATCCGATTACTTAGTGCGGATATTCAATCCCGCGCCGAAGTCGGCCGAGAAAAGGAGAACGGGCATTCAGTGTCTGTGGAAATTAGTTAAAGTAAAGAGCAGAGATGCAGTATAAGATATAAGATATAAGATATAAGCAAGTAGGGAAGTATATAAAATAAGAATAACCGAGTCTCACGTGTAAAAAGGGTACTGAGTACGGGGAAAAATACGGGTATTGAATACCTCCGGATCCCCCCACAGGCCGACGACTTCAGCCGAGGTTGGACTTGCCTATTTCCTCATTCCTTATTATCTGCTCTTCGCTTCTGTTTCTGCTTCTTCTTTTTCAGTCCATCCTTCATATTCACAATGGTTGCTGACGCTCTTGTCTACCACCCTGCGCTGGCGCACTGGCTGCGCTTCGTCGCGACAACTGGTACGTGATATCACACGTGTAGCCACCTCTATTCATGAACCCCAACCGAAGCACCGGAGTGCCGGAGCAGGGACAAGCTAGATGAGGGCTCATCTCCCTCCAAAGGGAGAGAATGAGAGAGAAAAAAAAAGACTCCGCTAACACCACCCAGTCGGCCGCGACAAGATCCTCCGAACCGTGCAATACTTCTCCCGCTTCTACGCATGGTACCTATACCGAACCAACAAGCCCCAGTCTTCAATCGACCCCTACAATGCAGTGAAGAAGCAGTTCGGCACGACGCGCAAGATCATGCGAATCGGCAAATTCCTCGAACACCTCAAGGCCGCTGCTGTCGCCTTCGATAACAAGAATCCCGCCGACCCAGTCCTGAAGTACCTGGCCATCGGACGCCAGCTCGGCTACGCCGGATACCTGACACTGGACGCAGTGACGGTCATCGACGTGATCGGCATCCGGAAGCTGGCTTCCGCAAAGAGACTGCAGGAATCTGCGTACCGGTCTTGGGCTGCGGGTTTGATCTTCAGTGCTGTGGCGGGTGTTTATACACTTGTGCGGTTGCAGGAGAAGGAGAAGAAGATTGATCGGAAGGAGGGTGAGGGTGTTGTTGAGGCGAAGAAGATTGAGAAGTATGTTCATGCACATGGACCTGGACCTGTTGAGTGGATGCTGATTTGTGATTCTAGGGAGCGCTCTGCTGCGCGTGTACAGCTGTTCTCGGATGTGTGTGATCTTGCTGCGCCTTTGTCTGCTGTTGGTATTCTCAACCTTGATGATGGTATTGTTGGTATCTCTGGTACCATTAGCAGTTTGATTGGTGTTTGGTCACAGTGGAAGAAGACTGCTTAAGTGCAGTTTGGTCGGGTGTTTTGTTTTCGAGGGACCAGATGGTACTTTCTTTTTTTCTGATCTGGTGAGATCCGGAGGGGGGGGGGGGGGTATCATTTTGACCATTTTATATCCTGTTGCGTTATTTGCCTAACAGACTATCGTTTTTATTTATTCTCCGGGGAATGTTGGCCAATCCCTTTCTTCTGGTATATAACAATCACATGTTTTTTACGTTTGCAAGGGTTCTTAGAACTGTTATTCCACTGCTGTTAACAAAGCTTGCTATGAAATATCAAATATCCTCGCGCCGGGCCCACACTTCACCCTCGACTCCAATATCTGTCATATCGCGATGGACGGCCATCTCGTTCAAACAGGGCAGGTCTAGCCTCGTTAGTTTCGTCCCACACCTCAGAAGCCCGGGGAAGAAAGACATACAGCACCACAGGAGCCACAGCTCTTACCAGTGCCAGAAGCGGCACCGCACTTGGGGCATGCAGCGTGTCCGTTCATTGTGAAAGTAGCTCTGGCCAGTCAGGTTAGCACCCACCAAGGTCCTCAACAGTATATCTACTCAAGTACTCACTGAATAGTGCTTTGAATATTGTGAAGGGCAGTGTGAAAAGAAGTAAATGTTGGGCGCGAAAATTGCTGACTTTTCTACCCCGCCTGACTGGTGCCCCGCTCTATATCGAGCGGTCTTATGCTCCGTACTGTCGACTTGCACTTTGATATCTATGGATGTATACCTCACGGTTATGACAAGAGGGATTGGGTTGCTTTTGATTTCGGATTATACCAGGACCGACGAGAATAATTATTTGCGCATCATGGCTTCAGTGTCTGCTTGGTACCTGGGTCAATAAGAAAGTACATCGTACATGGATTATCATATGCCAAATGCAGGGTCTTCACGTGCCACAGACGAGCCTAAAAGCTTGTCTTGCGTCTCGCTCACTTTGCAAGGTTGCAAAGAGCACCATTCTGGCTGTCTACAGGTGAGACTGCAACTGCAGTCTCGGGATGATGGCTAGGACTTCAGAGACACAGAAATACATGTCTGTCACTTGAGCATTGAATACCTCAGTGGTGTTCAAGCCTGTCAAAAGGTAAGATATCAAGAATATGATGCGCCTCAGAAAAACCGAAGACCTCAGCCAATCTTCCACATAATCCCCAACTCCCTCAAAGCATCCGAGTACATCCTCTCCCGCTCAGGGGCCTTCCTCCAAAAAGAAGGCTTCTTATCAAACCCATGAATAACACCCTCAACCACAAACCCACCAACACTCCCCATCTTCCCCTCCCGAACAAGTCGACCAAGCCTATCCCGAAACGCCTCACCTTCAACAAGCAACTGATCCCACGCACAAGTATAAATAGCAACAGCAGGAGCATAAGCCGCCAACAAAGCCTCCTCCGCGGCCCTCCCAGGCGAAAGGTACGGATGAGCCATATTAACCCGATTCCCACCCGGGACTTTGGGCAACGAGCCAGGAAACAGATACGAATGATCGAAAAACCAATACACAGAATCAGAGATCATAGATTTTTCCACAGCGATTGGATTCGAAGCATTCCTCTCTGCGCGCGTATGTGTCCAATCCACACTGGGGTAGAAAGCGATTTGGCCAGCGAGAGATATTTTCGAGCGTTTACGCTGCTCGTCGTAGAGTCTGAAAGGGACAGTAAGAGCGAGATTCCCTCCTGCGCTGAAACCACTTAGACAGAAGCGTGTTTTGTCCAGATTGTATCTGTCTGCGTGTTCCCATAGCCAGAGGATGGTGTCTGTGCCATCGTCTAGAGCTACGGGGAATGGGTGCTCGGGTGCTAGACGGTAGTTGACGCTTATGACCACTGCGTCTGGGTATGTTTTTAGGACTGCGCTGGCCCAGCGGGAGTCGTCTAGGGCGTGGCCGATGCTGAAGCCGCCCCCGTGGAAGTTTATTAGCACGGGTCGGGGTTTGGTTGATTGGACTCGCGAGGAGAGACCTTTTGAGGGTGCGGTGAAGATGTGGAGGTCTATTGAGCCGGGGCATTTGCTGGATTGGGAGGGGATGGCGATTTCGAGCTCTGGCTTTGAGGGGAGGGGCCAGGAGAGATATCTGTCGAGTATGGATAGGAGGCTTGAGAGGGTGCGGTAGCGGGATGCTTTTTTGATGAGGCTGGATCGTGATGGGGGGCGGGGGGTTGATGTCATTTTGTCTGGTTAGATGGTGATCTCTGTCTTGGGAGAATATGAGGTTTTAAGTACTGGCTTGTGGTCGGATAATATCAAAAGCTCAGAAGTACGAGAAGAAGAGTGGTCGATGACGGCATGCGGCCGAGTTGCCCGAACCCCAATCTGGGGTATACTTAAGAGCTCAAGTATAACATTCCAACTCTTAAAACAAGGACAGTCTATTACTGTAACTGTATAGTGCCTCCGAAAACAATAATGATATCGAGCAGATCTGGAACCTCCCGACGCTAGACCCAAAACCACCTAGTAGCGGGCCACTGGAGCCGCATTGAGTAGGCCGGACTCCGAACTTCAAGATATAAACAGACCTACAAGCATATTTCTCTTCTTCATTCTAAATCAAACTCCAGTCACTGATCACTACATTTCCACTTCCAAAATGTCTCTCCCAATCGTCATCTGCGCCCTAGACGACCAAATCGGCAAACCAGTCTCCGAGCTTCTCCAACCCGAGTTCGAAGGTGACTTACGCATATTCAGCAGTGTTCATAAAACCCATCTAACTCCACAATTCCAGTAATCCACTTCATCCAATCCCTCAAAGCCGCCCAATCAGAGATCCCCCACATCCTAGCCGGCCACGATCCCCAATCCCCATCCAACAACATCGGCACAAAAAACTATACTCACCAGGCACGGGCGATCATCTTCGGTCGCGGCTTCGATCTAGAAGATATTCAAGACATCCGAGAAAAGGCCGGTGCGTCACCTGATCCGGTTGTTTGGATTGCTGGGGACCCGAGCCGAAAACCGGCTCCTGGTGCGGTTCTTCCTCCTAATTATCCTCAGCTTGTTGCTGGGGTTGCGCGGAGGCTGCTTGGTCAGTGGTTGGAGGATGGGGGTGTGGAAGATGTGGTTGTTTTGTATTGATTGGGCTGGGTGGGATTCGGCTTTTTGATACTTTATACTTTACTTTCAAGGTTGGCTCGAGTAGGTGTAGAGCTTTCATAGAATCCGGCTGGTTTATATATTCAGGCTATCTCTAATTTCAAAAAGTTTCAAAAAGTTTCAACATCGACCTCCGTGGCTAGCCTTGAAGCCTGCTGCAAAATATAAACTCAAGGGCTGACCATTTGTAACTAATTGTGGTAGCTCATACTTGCTCTTGATACCCATGACTTAAATTCCCAAAATCTGGACACCCAGGTGATATTCCTCGAGCGTACATGTCCAAGCCGACGATACATGTCCTTGTGACCCCGGGAGTAAAAAGTGGCTCCCGGGACATCAACGTTCTCAAGTTCCCACCTGATAACCAAGAAAGTCTCAGCCACGGAAGTTCAGGTGGTGGCTGTGTGAAAGGCCAGTGAAGGCCATGTTTGATACTTGGTACTGGATTCAGCCTTTCATTACGAAAAAGAACAAGACTACAAGGTGAGCATCTGGAAAGGAAGAGAGATCTCCATCAAACATCTAACTCATCCACGAATCAAATAATGTCAAAGGTGAGCATGACTTGAATAGGCTCAGCCCTGTATACCCCGCATCCGAACTCCCACGCGACATCTTCCCCAGAAAAAAGCCAAGATGCCAAGCCGCAGGTCGACCAAATAGTACAAGGGTCGGAACAATTTAACCTGCTACGAGAGTCATGGGTTCCGTCGCAATGACGTGCATCCGCGCCTGGAGTCGGCCTCGGGGAAAATAGGAATGATTATTGTCCTACCTAATTACGGCCCAGACCATTTTCAAACCCCTGGCGCTGGTTGGGCAGAGATGTAGATGATAGGTGTTCGAATTAAAATCAAGATACTACATTTCCACGGGTGAAATAGGAAGCTAAGATTCTAGAGTGATTGGCTATTACTGTGAGAGATCCTTGAATGTTGATCCGGGTAAGATAAGGAGAAGTAAGAAAATGCGACGGGTGACGAAAAGGGCGAAAAGGGGCAAAATGAAGTTCCAGACCATGGAAATCTGGGACTTCAGGAATAGATTCAAGATCACGGGGTATGCTTAGCTATGTCTATAGATGTGGCTATATGTGGTTTTTTGCGGAGGAGACAGGGGGATTCCCCACCAGCCCTTACTCCTTCAGGGAGTAAAAAAAAAGCCTCAATTGAACCCGAGTCCATACTTCCGAGCTGGCATGTCACGCGCAAGGGCCCAAAAGACACGAGAATGATCAGCATGAAGAAGGTACTACGTAATGAGACATAATCGCGCAAAAAGTGACTGTTTCACGATACCGTGTACAAGTTCTACGAGTACGCAAAAAGGGGAGCCAGGCAGAGATGCTCCCGAGGCCGTAGCCGGTTCGGGATCCGCCGCTAACGGGGAGCAGGATCTGGGGTTGGACTGTGATCGCACACATCCCGGTGCAATGACCGACCCGACACGAAAACTCAGTGTATCAGAAAAAAAAAAAGGCCATCCGGTACTCCGTACGGCAGACCGTGTAGACCCACGACATCATCGCCGGAATGAGTCGAGATTTGGAGCATAGGGTACCACTGCCTCGGAGGCAGGCGTCCCTCTCATTGCTCGGCGACGACGAGCCATTATCGTCAACCAGCGAAACAGGGGGCCTGGGACCCGGCAATATCTTCTGCCCACCCGACTATGCTGGAAATGGAAATTAACCACTGCTGATTGGTCCCCGCCGCCGCGATCGATGGAGCCGGGTGCATCATCCTCGGCTGGGTTAAACGCCGTTATTTGCTGCGCTTTCACTGCGAGTTTTTTCGACTTTTTTTCGTCATTCGGAGTCAAGAGAATGTGTTGTTTTCCACGGGCAACTCCGAGTACATAGTAGTCGGGTTGACAGAAGCCGAGTCAAAGAAACCTGGCATATGAAAGGGAAATAGTAAAATACCCAAATACCGAACAGGAAATTACCGTAGATCCTTATGTCAGCCCCCGCGATTTGCCTCTTTCGTCGTAGTGACATTTACTGAAGTCATCGAGCGTCATTCTATAGCTTCATTTTTGGTTATTCTTTTTGTATTCTGGACTATCATTGACTATTACTTGGTTCTGGAGACATGGAAAGGTAAATTTGAATTCAATTTATATACACTTCTCAATGCATTAAATCAATATATGACGTATTGATCAATGGACGTACGGACGTGCAAAAAGTCAACCGGTAATGTACTTGTACCCTTAAAAACAGGATCACTGACGAGATTCTTCACTTCTTTGAAACTTCCTACATAACGAGTACATGAGTTATTTTTGATCATCCACTCGTCCCGCTTTTTGTCTTTCCGAAGCTGAGAAGCCCATTCGTTCCGATTCCCTTTCGTGTCCACTAGGTCCTATTTCGGGTCATCTCGGACCTGCGCCTCTGTGCAAACCCACGGCTACCATTCACCATCAGCACCGCATCACCGCGTCTTCGCTTCAGCTCGGCCTATTACCCCCGACATCACCCGTGAAACTGTGGAGAAACAAGTGCGGAACCTGCACGAGAACCTCCTTCATACCAAGACCCATCGAGACCATGGCCACTGCCGGAAAGGATTATATACCCCTCGACCGCACCAGTTCTCCAGGTCCATTAGCTTCAGATTTCACTTCACAACAGATCGCGAAGCAACGAAACAACAATTATCATTCTACTTCACTCAGAAAAATGGTTGCCACATCTGTAAATCGCACTGCCCTGCACCCTGGTGGTGTCCAGTATGTTGCCTTCCCTTTCCTGCTTCTATACCTCGTCGCTAACCTCCCTCTAGGCCTGGCAAGGGTCACACTGAGCTCGAGGAGGAGCTTCACGAGACTGCTCACATCGACTACGACCGTGTCGCTATTGTAAGACACCCGGATCCTACGCTCTAGACCTGTTGATGGTCGTGGGTTATATTGACCTCAACTAACCGGTCCTTAGATTGCCAACCCCTCCGTCCCTGCTCTCTATGAAGATGCCCTCGTCTACGAGACTGGTACCGCTGTCACTTCCAGCGGTGCTCTGAGCGCCTACTCCGGTGCTAAGACTGGCCGTTCCCCCTCCGATAAGCGTATTGTCCAGGAAGCCTCTTCAGAAGGTGACATCTGGTGGGGACCCGTCAACAAGCCCATGACTCTTGATGTGAGTGATTTATGACTCCTTTGCGCGATTTTACTGCATATCTGCGTTTGTCACTACAGCCCAGCTGGCCTTGCATATGGGGCCGATCTACCCTGGATCCCTTGCATATGCAGTGGACGGTCAAGCTTTTTCTGGCAGCCCTTCGTGTGACCCAACGTTGACCCATCGTTGTCCAACGCAATTCCCAATTTCCCTGTCTTGTCACTTTTGCCTCATTTGCCCCCTCAATTTGCCTCCATTTCCCCGTGCCAAGGCTATCTAGCATATGATGTCATGAGCTAACCCAGTTCGATCAGGTCTGGCGTATCAACCGTGAGCGTGCTGTCGACTACCTCAACACCCGTAACCGCATCTATGTTATCGATGGTTACGCCGGTTGGGATGAGCGCTACCGCATCAGCGTTCGCGTTGTCTGCGCTCGTGCCTACCACGCTCTCTTCATGCGCAACATGCTGATCCGCCCCAAGCGTGAGGAGCTTGACCACTTCCACCCCGACTATGTCATCTACAACGCTGGCTCTTTCCCTGCCAACCGCTTCACTGAGGGTATGACCTCCGCTACTTCCGTTGCCATCAACTTCGCCGACAAGGAGATGGTCATCCTCGGTACCGAGTACGCTGGTGAGATGAAGAAGGGTGTCTTCACTGTCCTCTTCTACGAGATGCCCGTTAAGCACAACGTTCTTACTCTCCACTCTTCCGCCAACGAGGGCGAGAACGGTGACGTCACTGTCTTCTTCGGTCTGTCCGGTACTGGAAAGACCACCCTGTCTGCCGACCCCAAGCGCAAGCTCATTGGTGACGACGAGCACTGCTGGACCGACACTGGTGTCTTCAACATCGAGGGTGGCTGCTACGCCAAGTGCATTGGTCTCTCCGCCGAGAAGGAGCCCGATATTTTCAACGCCATCAAGTTCGGCTCCGTCCTCGAGAACACTGTCTTCGACCCCATCTCCCGTGTTGTCAACTACGACGATGTCACCCTCACCGAGAACACACGTTGCGCCTACCCCATCGAGTACATTGAGAACGCCAAGCTCCCCTGTATCAGTGACAACCACCCCACCAACATCATCCTCCTCACCTGTGATGCCCGCGGTGTTCTGCCTCCCATCTCCAAGCTCACCCCCGAGCAGACCATGTTCCACTTCATCTCTGGTTACACCTCCAAGATGGCCGGTACCGAAGACGGTGTCACCGAGCCCCAGGCTACCTTCTCTTCTTGCTTCGCTCAGCCTTTCCTGGCTCTGCACCCCATGCGCTACGCCCACATGCTCGCCGAGAAGATGAAGCAGCACAAGGTCAACGCCTGGCTCCTCAACACCGGTTGGGTCGGCGCCGGTGCCACCACCGGCGGCAAGCGCTGCCCTCTCAAGTACACCCGTGCCATCCTGGACTCCATCCACAACGGCGAGCTCGCCAAGGCCGAGTACGAGACCTACGCCACCTTCAACCTCCCCGTCCCCACCTCCTGCGCCGGTGTGCCCAGCGAGCTCCTCAACCCCGAGAAGAGCTGGACTGCCTCCACCTCCTTCAAGGACGAGGTCACCAAGCTCGCCGGTCTCTTCAACGAGAACTTCAAGAAGTACTCCGACCAGGCTACCCCTGATGTCCTCGCTGCTGCCCCCCAGATCTAAATGGTCTAGTGGTTTCAAAATTTCTTCTTCTCCTTGTTTCTCGTTCTCCCAAACAGGATGAATGAGTCATTTGCATGGCGTGCTGCTTTTTCCTTGGTCATGGTCTTTGAATCCATGCCCCACGTCTGCCGCTTGTGTCGGGACGAGCGTTGGATATGTCTTGATTTCCCCCCGATCTTGGTTTTTGAAAACATTGGCCATCTCGACTGGCTAATTGGAGTTAGTGATTTATGATGAAATTTCCTCTACGATATTCAATGAATTTATTGTTCCATCAACTTTTCTTGTAGTTTTTATTCGAGTATTGCCTTGAATTTCGTAATTGCAGCTTTTACTTGTTACAGCCTCTATCTTGAAAGTTCTGGAGTGCTCAACACTCGGCTTGTGCATCACAGATTCGTTCAACATTGTATGTTATGGGCATATAAAATCCCCGCGTTTCACACCCGAACTGAAGCAGTGCCGAGGCAGTCCTTGTGAAGATTCCCCACAACCCCAACATTTTCAGACCCTTAACGGCTTCTCCCGTCAATGCTGATTCGCCAGGATATAGAGTTCTCGCAATGGATGCTGTTTAGGTACATGAACGCCGATCATGACTTCAGAAGCACAAGCGAACCCATTCAATATAAGAATATCCAAACATGTTCACCAAATATGAGAAACACCTCGCCATCTCTTCAGGGCTACAACATCGAAGATGTCAACCATGAGAAACCCCGCCGACTCCATGGTCTCCAGCTGGCGCAACCAAGACCGCAACCAATGGACCATCTGGCACTGGATGATTGAACTCCTAGGCCTCCACCTCATCGACCAAAAAGGCTCAGTCCCCATCTTCTCCAAGAAAGACAAAATCCCCGCCGTCCGCGAATGGTCTCTACACCTCTGGATCCTCCTCCACGCCGCAATCCCACTCCTCCTCCACCACGCCTACACAACATACACAGGCAAGAATCTAAGTCTCCTCGGCGCCTTCGCCCTCTACTCCACCTCATTCAAAGTAAACGGCATCCACGAAATGCACATCATGAGACGCCTAGGCCAAGTCCACGGCTTCCTAGACGGCGACAAGCACCCCCGAGACGACATCCCAGACGTGGGCGTGGGAAAAGTAATCCGAGAACTCATTTCCACATCTTCAATCCGCATCATCATGGCCATCTACCTAACCTATCAAACGGATCAAACACCAGCCTCCCTAAACTGGAAATGGCTTCCCCTCGAAATAGGCTTGTACAGCATAACAGTCGACTTCTGGTTCTACTGGTATCACCGCATGATGCACTCAACACCATCTCTATGGAAATTCCACCGCAGACACCATTTGACCAAACATCCAAACCCATTACTCTCAGCATACGCAGACCACGAGCAGGAATTCATGGATATAACAGGTATCCCACTTATGGCGTATGCAACGCTCAAGATACTTGGGTTGCCAATGGGTTTCTATGAGTGGTGGGTGTGTTATCAGTATATTGCGTTTTCGGAGTTTATTGGACACAGTGGGCTGCGGCTTCATGGTGGTGCACCTTCGACTGTGAATTGGATTCTGGAGATTTTTGATGCAGAGCTGGTTATTGAGGATCATGATTTGCATCATCGGTATGGGTGGAGGAAGAGTCATAATTATGGGAAGCAGACCAGGTTGTGGGATAGGGTTTTTGGGACTTGTTTTGACAGGATTGAGAGTGTTAAGGGGAATGTGGATTACGAGAACCGGGTTACTATGCCGCTTCTTTGATACTTAGTATTTTTGTTTTTTTGGCTGGGTTGGATGTGATGATTGATGATATTATGAGCTTTGGAGAGTGTATTGGAGGCACTTAAACATTTAGCAATGATATAGTCTGATGATGAAATTCGAGTTGAATCAAGTACCAGATTACATTGAACTTGATCACGGGCGAATTATTTGATGTCATATACTCTTAAGGCTGGTCTAACTGGTAACCTTCATCATCTGAATAGCCATAGCTTTGCAAAAATCATTGAAAATCCCCAAACAAAGAATCTTATAGGTTCTTGTCGGACTGCAAACATGGTGCCTCGGACATCCCCTGGTATCCCTAGGGCGCTACTTAAGTATACGCCTTCGTAGCCGCCCATCTACATCTCGCCACGTGACGAATCGACGCCTGCATGAACCCCAGATTCTGACCGCAATTTTCAGCCCAACATTAACATCAGATTTCATTATTAAGAGCATTCTCATCTGATGACAGCCTTGGAAGATATGCGACGCTTTGAGAGGATCCACGATGTCGTCGAATCAGTAGAAGAATATCGTATTGGAGGTTATCACCCGGTGCATTTAGGGGATGTATTTCATCAAAGATACGAAATCATTGGGAAATGGGCATATGGCCAATTTTCTACCGTGTGGCTATCCAGAGACCAGCTGTGAGTGTATTTCAAAGTTATTGATGCGCAACTGAACGAATATTCTCATTCCTTCTCCCCAGGCTACAAAAGGATGTCACTTTGAAAATTCTCAAAGCTGGCGCCTCGGAGAATAGCCAAGAGCTTTCTATCCACAATGAACTATCATCGGCACAACCACACGCTGGCAAGGAGCATGTTATCCCGCTTCTGGACCATTTTGAACACGAAGGCCCGAACGGCGTGCACCTTTGTCTTGTGTTTCCTTTAATGATGTCCGATGGCGAGGCAATGACCATCCGCGGGAAGGGTCGCAATGCAAGCTATGTGCGGGCAGTATCAAGACAAATTATCCTTGGCTTGGATTTTCTTCACCAGAACAACATGATTCACGGTGGTAATGTCTACTAAAATACCAGTGAGAAGAGGGTGTGCTAATTTCCTATCAGATTTGCAACCTGCGAACATCTTATTTACGGTAAATGAAATCCAGTGTCGGGACTTTTTGATACATCCGCAGTTCAGTCCCGTTCGTTGGCTTCCTGGAATCACGCCAGACTCTAGTGCTCCGCGCTATTTGATGGTCTCCCAGCGGCCCCGTGGTATGTTGGATGATGCAAGTGCTTCATCTTTAATGGTCAAAATAGGAGATTTGGGCGGAGGTAAGGTTGTAGTCGATTGTTCGAGATCATCCTTACTCACAGCATCCTTATGGAATAGCCATCCGAACAAATGATTCTAATTCTTCCCCCGTTACCCCTCTGGCGCTGAGAGCCCCCGAACTTATCGAAGGGCAGGCGTGGGACGAGAAAATTGATATTTGGGCATTGGGATGCTTGGTGTGTATCCTTGAAATTCGGGTATTCTGTGATCAACTGACTGAACTTTGTAGATATTTCAACTTGCAACGAACGAGCCACTTTTCCCTTTGATGTCATTCGGCTGTGGAGTGGAAGAAATGCGAAAGGATTTGAAAACTCTCATTCAACATGTCTTGGGTAGAGGCTACAATAACTTTGCGATCTATGTTGGTGAAAGGTTGCCATCTGATTTTGGTTCGAAAGATATAGAAGCATTTGCCTTGTTTCTGACTTCGATGCTTGAACGATCCCCGCAAAGCCGGGCTACGGCAGACGATAACCGCCACCTGGTCAAGTGTAAATTATATCATTTTTAATTTGTCAGAGTGCTCACCGCCATGCTCACCGCCTTTGGCGAATACACCCTCAAAACGAATTCAATTTTTCATTTAATTTCCTTACATCTCTTTTACAGTATTATATCAGCATAACTCCTTCCATTAATTTTGAACTTTACAAAGAGATAATCACCTCTCTTTTTCAAAGCAATTCTTCTTATACTAATATTCGTACGGAGCTTTCTACTCAATTTTCAATCACTGTATTACTTGGTATACTCAAAAATCGCATTAAAACATAGGAAATTCACAGAAGGCCTTCATTTCTAAAAACAAAAGATATTAATCTTTATTCTCGATTTAAAACTTTGATTTTTTAAACTAAAGTTGATGATTATACTGTTCTTTTGATTTTATAGAAAGAAGATTATAAAATCTTTTTTCATATAATATAATAATTACAAAAGCAATTGAATATTATCTATTATATAAATTCTTCTAAATGATAAGAATCTTAAAATTCAGAAATCAGAAAATTTCTGATAGATAAAATCTAATGTAAAGATATTAAAGGTTTTAAACAAATTTATTTATATAGCTATCTTTGTCGTTTTAGTTATTTATATCCTCGTAATAATATCTTCTTAATTTATAAAGAACTTTGATTTAATATATTAGTTCATTGTACAGCTAATCTTCAACATACAAAAAGTGTTTATAGATCACTTAGTTCTAATTGGATTTGATATCTTAATAGTTATATAAAATTGCAAATGTATAGTATTAAAATCTATATTGTAATTAATAGTTATTTTCAATATATAATTTGGATCTATATAAGAATTAATATTCGTACAGTTTGAAATATATTTTTCTAATATCTCAAAACTATTAATCAACTTTAATTTCAACTATATAAATTAAAAACCAATCTTAGAACTGAGACTATAGTAATAGAAGATACATATTTTACTCTTCGGAAATCACATCAACTAAAGATTATCTATCAAGAATACTATTTTTATAGACCAAATATTGGAAATCAAAGAATTAAATTATAATAGAAGTAAATAATAAAATTATTTAATTTTGTTTATAAAGTAAGCTATTTTTTGTTTTTCTGATATTTATATAACTAATTAATAATAGGATTTCTTTAATTAGCTTTCTAATAATAGTCTATTTTCTTAATTTAAAATTATAGATTAAATTATACTTTTTGTAATTTATCTTCTTATTATACGAAGATATCTAATATCTTTTATAGAAACTTAGAATATTTATCTAATTTGGCATTAACTTTGAAGACTTTATATTGTACAAGGATAGCTATATATGAATTACTATTATTCAAAAATTATAGAAGAATATTAAACTACAAAAGATGGAATAGTACTAAAAATAATCAAAGATTATTGATACTTTTTTAATTTAAATATCTTTTTAGAACTTCGTATGTATAATAATTAGGATGTAGATAAATATTTTTTATCTAATATTTTTGATCTATGTTATATAATCCTTTCTAGCTTTGGTTTTGATTCTATAGATCCTCTATTGATTTAGAACGATGAGATTTATATACTATATTTGACTATTTATCTCAAACTTTGAAATCAGCTTCAGATTCATCATGAACTAGGACTAAATTTTATCTTATCTTTATATAATAGATTTATATTAGTATAGATTTAATTTATAAATATAATATTTTACTTTTTTTTTTATTTTTTCTTTTTATATAACTTTAGAATAGATTTCTATTCAGATGATGAAGTGATTAATCTTACTAACTTATCTAGATATTCAACATAATTAATATTAATATTTTATTATTAATTTTAATTTCTATCTTCTACTATACTATTATTATTAATTTTATATTTTAATATAACCAATTCTTAGCTCTAAGATATTAAATTTAGATCTATCTATCTAAATTAATAATTTCAATACTAATTTTTATTCAAAAATTAAATTTGTATGTAAGAACAACTTCGTATACAAAAACAATCATAAAATCAATAAGTTTAAAATCAAAATATATTATCTTCTATTTATATGAAGTTTAGTTTTTGAATTAAAATATATTTAATTATAAATAAGAATCAAATTATTATTTTTTTAATAAATAAAAATTTTAGAAATCTTTAATATAATTATTAATTTTTATTAATTTTTTAATTATTTAGTATAAATCTTTTTTATTTTAATTCCTTAAATAGTATCTAGATTTTATGATTTAATTATAAATTATCTATTTTCTATAATCCAAAAAAGTTTATTTTTATACAAACCTTAAAAATATAATATTTTATTTTTTGTAAGTGATGTGAAAACAAATAAATCCCTAATATTTATATTTAATTAATTAGATTGTTGTATGGACTTACAAAATTTATTTAGTAAATTTTTAAAAACCAAAGAAAAAGAAGTTTTAATTTATATAATCCTTTAAAAATATTAATAAAAGGATTCTACAAAATTAGTAAAACTAACAAAACTAATAAAACTAATAAAACTAATAAAACTAATAAAACTAATAAAACTAATAAAACTAAAGCTGTTAATAAAATCTAAGGTTTATATAAAAATAATAATAATTAAAATAGAATTAAAGATAAATCTTGATTTATAAGATAAATTTTTCTTTTCAGATAATTTTTTTTTCCTAATTGAATATTTAGAACTAAGAGAAATAATATAATTTAGTATATTATTATTTTTTTAACTATATAATCTAATTAATTAAATTAATTAAATTAATTAAATTAATTAAATTAATTAAATTAATTAAATTAATTAAATTAATTTAATATTAGATTTTATATAAAATTACTATTTAATTTAACTAGATTTATCAAATACTAATCAAACATCAGTTTTAATTTTAATATCTAAATTATTGAATACTAAACAAACTTTAATATCTGTATAAACTTTAATCTGTAAATTACTATCTTTATTATTAAATGATAATCCTGAATATAATAAACCGATTAAATTAGTTTTATTATTATTATCTTCTATTAAAAATATTAAAAAACCTTTATCCGCAAAGGCAAAAAATAAATGATTATACAGAGAATCTATACTTTTTAATTCTACTCCTTTGACTTATTGTACAAGGATGAGTTTTAAATAACTTCGAGATAAACTCTAAAGGAGCTGAATTGAATTTAAAAATTTTAAGATTTTTTGTTGTGTGTTTAATTTTTTAATAATTTTGTATGTTTTGTATGTTTTATATATTTTGTATGTTTTGTATGTTTTATGTATTATGTTTGTTTTGTTTGTTTTGTTTTGTTTGTTTGATTTAAAAAATTAAACAAAAAGGGAATTTTATTTTTGTATTATTTTAATTGTATCTAAATTAATAAATTAATAAACTAATAAATTAATAAATTAATAACTTAGATTCTTTAACTCTTCAACTTCAAATCTTCATACAATACTATTCATCTATTATCTAAAAATAATAGTAGTTTTAGCAGTCTCACCAGCTTCCTTTTTTTTTCCTTTTCATCATTTAAATCTGTTAATTTTTCAATTTAGGAAATAAGTAGGGGTGCAGGTATATTTGGAGGTACAAAATGAAGTTTTAATGGAGTATGTCTATTATATTACTTTATATAATCTTTCTATTAATAATTGGTATAGTATCCATTCTAAAAACCTAAAAGTTGTACGGTATAAAATCTAAAAAAATGTCCTGATTGAGAATGTGTACAGATAATTGGAAATTACTAGCTTTGTAATATAATTAAAAGTCTATTTATATATGATTGACGATTAGTTTTGATTTAGAATATATATAAATATTAATAAATTTAATAAAAAAATAAATATAAAACTAAAAACTTATCTGTACAGCTATAATTATTAGTTTATTGGTTTTCCTTTTCACTAGAAACTTATACGAAGAAAATGACTATACTTCTTGCTGATTAACTATATAGTAGAATTTATGTAGAACTTTATTTCCAGCATATATTAGTTATACGATATAGTATAGAGTTCCACCTTCAGCTATAGTTATAAGTTGTACTTTAGTAAACATTCTATGGGAGTTTGGTTCTTGGATATTAAGATTATATCCTGTACGAGCAATAGTACCAACAGGAATACTATCTCCACTCCCTTCAGCAGTTTTAGTATTAATATGTTTAGGTGGTATTATAGAATATATATCAGAAATGTAAAAAAAAAAAAACTGATAATTTGATATAAAAATATTATTTAGATAGATATAGAACTATAATATATATATTCAATTATCAAAAATAAAAGATTATTCCTCATACGAATTTACTCAATTCATAGAATCAGAGGTTTAATGAACTTAATACAAATTCAATAAACTCGGTAGTATATATATGAATTTGATGGTGTAAATTCAATGAATTCAACGTAGGTTTAATGAATTCAGCGTAGGTTTAATGAACTTAATAATGTATACATGAATTCGGCGTAGATTTAATAAATTTGATAGTATATAGATGAATTTGGTAGTATATGCATGAATTTGGTAACGTAGGTTCAATAAATTCGACGCAGATTCAATGAATTCGACGTAGGTTCAATGAATTCAACGCAGGTTCAATGAACTTAATGGTGTATGTATGAATTTGGTAGCACAGGTTTAATAAATTCGATAGTGTATGTATAAATGACTAGGAAGTTATTTCTTGTACAAATTTACTTAATTTATGGAACCAGAAGTTCAATGAATTCAGCACAGGTTCAATAAATTCGGCGCAGATTCAATAAATTCGACGTAGGTTAAATGAATTCGACACAGATTCAATAAACTTGGTGGTGTATATATGAATTTGGTAGCGCAGATTCAATAAATTTAGTGATATATGTATAAATGACTAGGAAGTTATTTCTTATACAAATTTAATAAGTTTATAGAACTAAAGGTTTAATAAATTAATAGAGGTTTAATAAATTTAATAAAGTAATTTAAATATTTAGAAAAGTAAGGCCTTAGACATCAATATTTTCTAATTTGATATATATATGTCCCACATATTAATCTATATATTTGCTTCCCTTCACTTTTTTTCCTTTCCTTTTTCTTTTTTCTATAAGCTTTCTATTCTTTTTTTTTACATTATTCAACAATAAATACCTCGTACAACTATTCCTTACATATTATTT